TGTAGCAGGGCACTGTACGTGACCTCTCTGCTGCCAAGCTAAGCAGTCTGGGCCTCAGGGAGAACATGAATGATATCTCACAGTTGAGGAGAGAATATCCAGTCACCTGTTAAGGAGGTGAACACTCATGTAGGCTAAGAAATTTCTGGAATAATTTTGCTTACATGAAGAATAAAACCTTTCACAAGAAACAGGATTAACTATAGCAATTTGTTGTTAGCTCTGTGGGAGTCTAAGATTCAAGCTTTAACAATGTGTCTTGGAATGTATTAAATTATCTACATGTACTGAAAAGGTAAATTAAAAAAAAATCCGTTAACAACTTTGAATCTTTCTTATACTGCTAGATATCATGCGGGGAACAAAAATATCTGCCAAAACCTCTTTTTCATTTTGGGTGCTGGAATGTTTGCACAGCTGTATTTTTATGGTAGTATTTTCTATGTTAGGTTGGTTGGTCTGTTGTGCTGTTACCAGAGAGCTAGTAGAGGTGGGTAACGTTATTTAAACTTTCCCTATAATACGAAAATACGATTGCTCTAAATGTTGCGGTACAATTGAACTGTTTTGAACAATGGACCAGTAGGAACCTGTGTCTGCCTATTTCGGGGAAGGCTGAAACCTGGCCCAGAAGGGCTTTAGGTGTTAGAGGGGCTTTGTAGGGATGCTGGAATCCCTCCCTTTCCCTATAGCCATATGCCCGCGTTAGGTTCACTCACATACTTGATCTCCTGTTCTCCATTATTTTGTTAAGGAAGAAGGGGACTGCCACTGATCCAAGAAAAGAAAAAAGAAATGTTTTTTCCCTAGTCTTCCCACTGCTGAGTGAAGGTACCATGGGCCAAATTCTGGGGCAGTATTTGAAACAGAGGCACAGGGCAACCGGGCAACTTAGAGCAGACCTGTGCCAGGCTGTATACGGTGGTGTGATGTGAAGTGTGAGGCTAATGTTTTTAGTGCCTTGGTAATACAACCATCAGTAATTTCAGTATCAACCTATGATTAGAATCATAACAACACCATTATCAGTACAGAGCTAATTTAGTCTTTCACATAGGTGACCATATGGACTAGATTGACTTAGCCTGGTTGCCATATGCCCACCCAGCTGCGCTCTCACCCCCCCTCCTCAGCAGTCCAGGGAGAGGAAAATAGGTTGAAAAGGCTGGTTTGGATGGATGAAGAAATAAACACTGTATCTTGCAGGCCCAGAAAAGCAGGTAGAAAAGAGTTTACTTGCAATTTTCCACGGAAACTTGTTCCTAGCAATAGTCATATTGCAGATACTACACAGGTTTTTTTCTGAGTGGATTTGCAATTTTGGGGATAACTTTTTCAGTTTCAGGGATAACCCAAATTCTGGCAAATTCACTGATATAGACTGAGGTGTTTCTCCCATAACCCTTTTCTCTTTTGAATCATCCAGAAAAGGAAAGTTTTTCTGAATGCTTAGCAGTTAAGCTTGGGGTCCAGAACTTTCTTCAAAGTCATTACTTGATGGCAGAGCAATGATTGCTTATTGAACTGTCTGCCAAAATTGCGTTGTACTCCATTGCAGTTAGTATATGTGGCTGAAATTTTGAAATAGCAGAAGGGTTTATTTTGATTATGCTGAAGCTAGTTGTCAACTGTTCTCTGAAACTGTGCTGTAATTTGCATACAGAGTTGAGTCTTTTGGCTAAAAATAATTTTAATAGAATGTAAAGGAATTTTAAGAATCAGCATTGGAATAGTAAATTTTGGCTACCAGGAACTGAGTTTTCTGTACCAGTATTTAATCCTGTTTGCTCATAATGTTTTCCCAGTGTAACAGAATCATTTTAGAGACACTACCAATGTTAAGAGACAGTGGAGTAACCTAAAGCGCTTAATGCTGCCCAGGAATCTTTAGGTCAATCAAGTGCATTTTCTCTGAATAGAAACTAGTAAATTTAAAGACCTGTTATACACAAGAATTTTACAAAAATTAGGGAATTTAGCTAGTAACAGCTTTTCAGATTAAGCATACTTTTTTCCCCCCTCCACTTAGTTAAGACCTAAACTAAATGTGCCCTCAAGACATGTTGATACATTGCATATTTACAAACTTAAGCAGTAATCAGTTGAAGGTGGGGAATTTTTCCTTTGTCATTAATAGGGCTGGCATTATTTTCTAACAAGTGAAAGGAACACAGCAACATTCATGGTATTACTAAAGAAAAGAGCAGCAGCAGTAAGAGCATGAATAAGATCACTACAAATAAGTAATATAAGTACAGATGTCTTCTGTGGTGATGTTTTTAAAAAAAATCTTAAATCATTTGGAAGAAACAAAATCTTTTGTGTTTCAGAAAAAGGGGATTTATTACAGATTCATTTCCTAAGGAGAGGGATTTGTTGGTGGCTAAGCGTGCAACAGAATAATATAGTAGCGACTGGTGGAAAAATGTGTAACAGCAAAAGTAAAATACAGTACAAGGAAACAAACTCTAATGATAAAAATGCATGTTTCCTTAGTTTTATGTATTATTTTAACTTTGACTCTTGTTTTCAGCTGAACTCATTCAAAAAGCACAATATACTTGTAAATCTTCCAATAAGTATCCATCAACAAGAGAAAATTATTTTTTTTTCTTTCATGTTTATGCATGCACATTGAGCAGGAAATACAGAAAATAAACCAAATGCATTATCCTCTGTGATGGAGAAAAGCAGCTATATTTCTTCCAAGACTAATATTCTTTAAAGTTATTTAATGTTGTTTTCCTCCAGTCTTAATTCCCAACCACATCATGATATTTTGCAATTCCCTGCTAGTTTTTTTTTCTTTTTTAATGAGTTTGGCAAATTCTTCTTATATTACCTGTAAAATATAATGTCACTAATGAGGAGTTTTCTCATTCCTAACTCATTTCCAAATTTATCATTAATTCATTTTGAGTGTGTTCTGTGTGGATTAGTAGCTGTGCAGACGTTGTGCTGTTCTGCTTTTGTACTTCAGTGTATGCCTTGATGTGTGTATTAAAGGGAAAAAATCCTAAGGTTATGCTTTCCCTGACTTCCAGCAGAAGAAAGAGAATTAGTCAGGCACCACTCACTGTGAATGCTGTTGAAGAGTACAGTAGCCATGCTGCCTCTGGCAAGAGAAGTTTGCATTTTCAGACAGGTTTGTGGTAAGGTTTTTGTCAGACTTCTCCTACAGGCTTTTACTGAAGAGCAAGGGCTGACGACAATAAACTGTAGAAGCAGGAAGAGGCTATGTTGTCTGAGCTCATTCATGATTTGCTTTCCCTGTTTTGTATTTTAAAATAAAATAGCGTAGCAGGGAAAAAAAAAAATCACATTCATTTATTTTAGGTGTACTTGATGAAATCCATTCTGCCCACATAAAGACCAACTCTTCCATTTTTATTAGACAAAGAGTAGAACAGTAATAGATGTAAAATCTGTCCTTCCAATGTTTATGGTTGCTATGAAAAAGGAAACTAGAATATATTTATGCCTTGGCACTGGATACTGGGAGGGGCCTCTGGAATCCTTTGGCCCATCTCCACCTTACTATTTTGCTGACAAAGTGATTTGCACTTCTAAGTTTTATGACATACAGAAGTGCCCCCATTCATTAGTACTGCTTGCACTTGTCTAAATGGTTACCTTTTGTTATTGTTTTTCCAAAGACAGCCTAAAGGGACTGAGTTAGCACGCAGGATTTATAAAAGAATTGTAGCAGACTGAAATATGTTAATCTGCAGGTAGTTCCATAAGCAAAAGAATCCAAAGACATGACTTCTATTGATTTGAGTGTCACCTTTCCTGTGTACACTGTCTAATAAAGCTTTATTAAATGCTACAGCTTTTCCCCGAGGGGGGGGGGAATTACTACAATTTATCTTATTTTCTGAACTTTCTATTTTCATTATATTTATGGATAATTAATACTTTTACTTGAACTTTTGTCAATATGTGAAATTGACAGAAACTATTATTTTGGGAAACATTGGGAGACAGTGAGCAAAATTGGGAGACAGCACACTTACTTCAGAAAAGGTTAAAAGTTAGAGTGGGGAAAAAACAAGGATGTTTAAAACATGATCACCCAAGCTAGATCCAGATGTTTTGCTTTAATGAGTCATTGTTCCAGCTGTTGGTGGTCCTCGACTGAACCTTAACTGCTGAAGGTGGTTTGAAAAACCCAGCAGACTTCGTATTGAAGCGGAAGCATGAAAATGTCGTATATGGTGTCTCTGTAGTATGGAAAATAACCCCCAAGCAAGAGGCAGTAGCAAGTCAAGGCTGGCTATACCTTAAAACACTACATCTTCATGATTGCATGATTACATCTTTAATTTTTGATTGGCTCCTTCAGTGGTTTGAGAAATAAAACTGGATTGTTTTCTTTGAGATCCACCCTCCGTTATTGGTCACAGGAGCATTTGAAATGCATTACAAAGCTAGCTGTCCCATCCATTTATCATGCATGCAGTAGATTAAAACTCACATACAGTTCCCAATTTAAAAATGTAAGAAGCAGTCACTTTTCCATATATTTGTTACTCATTCAGATGAGTACATTTTATTTTCTGAATCGTACCCTCTTATATTTTTTACTTTTAGTTTGAAAATTGTAATCTTTCTTCATGTTCAGTTTTATTCCTCATCTGATAAGTGTCTACCTTGCTGAAACCAGCATGTAATATTCTTATTTCAGTTTTCACATGATGTTTATTGATGTTAAGCTGTCAAGAAACTCTGAAAATACTGCATAATTTTCTGTAATATTGAACCCTGTTTTTACACACCCCACTAATGGAAGATATGTGTCTAAGATCAGGTAGCAAAAGAGACTTAAAAATCAAGAGTTAATGTTTTTTAACAAAAAATCTTCATTAGATGTTCCCACTGCTTAGAGCTCTTTTGGTGTATTTTTTTAGGCACTGTAATACAACAGTGGATATATCTAAACAGTATTACCATTTGATTTGATAAACTGGAATAAATTTTTGACATTTTTCTTTACCCAGGGAAATTACCGCTTCATGAAACTTTTACTGGCTCGTAGAGGGAACTGGATGCAGAAGGACTTAGAGGATATGACACCATTGCATTTAACTACACGTCACAAAAGCCCAAAATGTTTAGCTTTGTTGCTAAAACATATGGCACCTGGAGAAGTGGATACTCAGGACAGAAACAAGGTAAAAATACTGCCTACTTTAAGACAACACTTGTAGCAGCTTTGGAAATTGGTGTTATATCAAACAGTTGTATGTGAAAAATTATTTCAGTCAACAAACTTTTTCTGAGTCTTCAAAATAGTGGCTAATGCTGGTATTATAATGATCACCTTTAGAAATATTAAAATTTTCCTGAAGATAATGATATAAAAGCTCATTGCACTGAGTTAATTGCCATTATTGTTGAGAGTACATAAGAATAATAGAGGATGCAAAACCCACTGTTTTTAAGGTCTAAGTCTTTCTGTAACACTGTGATCCTTGTTAGAAACTGGATAGGATGTGCTTACCTTGCTTTTCTTTGTTGGAAAACCCCTACATTTAGAATCATTTAATGATAAGAGTCACTAGAAAATTTTGTACAAAAGTCCCTCAAAGTATTTGTCAATACCAGCTGCCCGTAGGTGCTTTCTTTTAGAAAAGTGTGGTGGTTTAGTTTTAGCAAGCAGCCAGATGCCCACCCTGCAGCTCTCTCACTCCCCCTCCTCAAGAAGACAGATGGAGAAATTAGCTTGGAAATCTCATGGGTTGAGATAAAGACAGGAAGATTGATCACCAGTTACGGTCACTGGCAAAACAGACTTGACTTAAAGAAAATGAGTTTCATTTGTTGCCAATTAAAATAGTTTTGTATAGTAAGAAACAGAGACAAAAATTAGAACACCTTCAAACCACCCCCACCTTTTTTCCTGGCTCAACTTTACTCCTTCGCTTCCACTCCTTCACATGTAAAAATACACATAGACTAAATCTATATGGTTGACTGTCCTTTTTTTCTGTATCTCTAAGTAAAAACGGACAATATTTAGAGTATACGAGTCAGACATGACTTTTTGGTCTGGGATAGAATGAGATGCCATTTTTCAAGAAGATTTTCTAACAGGGACAATCAAAAGTATCAAGTTGTTGTTGTTATAAAATGGACCAATTGGCAGCAGAAGGTCTGCTCTCAATCCACATGCACTATTGCTTCTATGAGTGCATCATTTAGTGAGAAGGATGTGGTGATGAATTTGATTGACATTCTGGCAGGAGACTCATTTGAAGTAGAGCATAAGTTAGTCACTTTGACATTTGTTTTGTGAAACTGCAGACTTTGTTGGGAGAAAATGTAATCTTAACGCCTTCAGAGATTTACATTACTACCTTCTTAGAACAAAGTCCTTCAGAATAATTTTCTGCATCCATAGTAACACCAGTTGCTTGAAAGGCTGGGACATCTCCAGGTGACTTTCTAAGTATATCGTATAGTGCATATATCATCATGAGTTTTCTCATGTCCCTTTGCAAAGTCACATCATGCTCTACCACATCAATAAAATTACCAACCTGCTTCAGAAGCACACTGACTTCTGAGCGCCTCAGGAAATAATCTACTGAAGTTTGTTAAGAAGGACTATCATCAAAATGACCATCCAGAAGAGATGATGGATTTTAGAAGGAAGGTGGTACAGTTCTTAAAACAACTGATTTACTATTACTTTTCATACAAAGAGGTACTGCCAATCCACAGTAATAGTACACTAACCCATTTTAAAAGAAGGAATAAGTTCTTTAGCTTATAGTAACTGTATTTTTTGAGGTCCTCAGATTAGTGTCTTTCTTAAGTTTGAGTGCTTAGCAATGCTTGATTTAAAACTGATGTCAAACGTTTGCCTTCATTAGCATTAATAGTAGGGTATGAGGAGGCATAGGGCTTTCACAGAGTCCTGTCAGATATTGTAGATAAAGGATTTCTTGTGTTGCCACATAAGTTTTGAACAAAACAGATTCATCGCTCTTGTCGGCAAGCTTGATGTGTGTTCTGTTTGGGAGATGATCACATTGCCCTTAGTAGACAGATTTCTAATATTTATTGAGGATCTGTTAATCTGGGAATGTCTGTTTTAAATTTCAGGTGCTTGAGCAGTTTGTGTATCCTGAAATCTGAAAGACACTTCTTTCAAAGAACCCAGAGATACTAATGTTCCCTAAGCCTAATTTTTTCTGCAAGGATATAGTAACAAAAAGTGAAACACTCTGAATGTAGATAGCAAAAGGAAGAACAGAAAACCGTTAATGTGTAACTACCATTGTCAAGGTAGGCACGGTATTGAATACAGCTGGAACTGTTATTGATGATAGAGGCTTTTTAAGCATTGAGCAGTCTCTTTCTTACAATTTGTAAGTGATCTTGGAACTGTTGCAAAAATTCTGACAACCAGGCACTGATCTAGCACTGATTCAAATGTGAGTGCGCTGATCAAGTCTATTTGGATCAGCTGATAACCAACATACCAGCTTGGCAAGGCTGGTCCTAATGGAAATCATCATTCCATGTCTCATGTACTGGGTTTTCATTCTATCACAAGAGGACATAGTAAGAGAAGGGGACCGGACTTTCTAGTGATGTAACTGCTTAAACTCTGAAATCCTTATCTGATTTTATCATCTAGGAAGCAGGACAAGACAGCTGCAAGCCCAGTTTCCAACAAATGAATCTTCTGTCCCCTCTGAACAATGGAGTTGAACCAGCCTGTGCCCTAGCAATCAGCTGTTTGCCTTCCAGGATATTCTAACATGTATCATGGAAACCCTGGCTATAATTACAGCAGTTATTCTGAAGAGGTCATGTTGACTTCCTGACCATGTTAATTAATTAACAAAGGTATACGGAAACCAGCCAAAACCATTTAGGAACCTTGCCTGTTGTTTAGCAGATTTCCAAGGCAGTATTAAATCATTGCCAGATTTCCCACAACACGTAGAGAACTTTTATTCCAGTTCATGTCACGAGTAGTCACAGTAGCAAAGATGGAATTCAGGTTGATGAAAAGGCAGTCTCGGGGACAGTCCAACACATTTGACCCTGTTGGGCACATAGCTTATTCGTTTCCCTTACTGCAATTGTGCACATCAAGATTGTCGAATAGAACTCCTGAACGTCAGGGAGAACAAGTGTCTTTTACATCTACTTCCATGTAGGCAACTGACTGAAAAGCAGGTTGTGGGTGAGAGGAGCCAGTAACCAAGTCTGCATTGGCCTCTTGTTAATCAAAAGTTTTGGCTTTCATTGCAACTGTCAGTTTCTAGGAAGATTAGTCAGCTCCACTTAAGAAATAACATTTGTGAACCAACTACAGATTTCTGCTAGAAGTTTTTTCAATTCAATTCCCGACAGGCTGTGATGGGTAGAACGTGCTTTATGGTGCTAGGCTGTATGTCGTTGTATGTGGTGCCAGTTATCAGACCTTTCCTTGCAGCCCCTCCAGTTATGTCTTAGAATGAGCTCTTTTTCAGTGAACTACCAAGTAGGTAAAAAGTCTGTGCTATCATATTATGTTACCATGATACTAATCTAACAGCTTAAAGCAACAAACACAAAAAGTAGGCATCATTTTGCTTTCTTCCTTTACAGAGACATTAAGGATACGATAGTGAACTCATACATTCTATCTTACTGTTCAAGGATGCTAATCCAGGGTATCATAGCTTTATACACAAATGTCCTGCAGCAGTTATTTCTCTCAGTTTTCAAATAAAAGTGCCATGTAATATGTTGCAGAGAGCTGGGAAATAAAATTAATTCTGTCTCTTACAACCCTCTGCTACTTGGCAGTTGGGAGAGATGTGCCTGATAAATGAAATACTTGTTAATCTACCAACATTTTGCTGTTTAAAAAAACCCCACACATTGGTTTTCTTATGTACTTATGAGCATTGATAATGCTTGTAAAAAAGCCACTGTCAGTCAGGAATTGGCAATAGGAGCATAGATTGTCTTTTGATGGTTTATTGGACTGCCGTGAGTTGGTCAGTGGGCCTTAGATTCACTAATATTCAATCTCAGAATTCTGAGTGATCAAGGACAGTGCAGAAAGTCAAAACCTTTGCTAAAGATGGATCCAAGTCCTGTGTCAATATTCAATGCCATCTTCCTCTAGTGGAGAGTACTCTTGTTATATGCTTTGCCATTAATTAGTGTTATTGCAAGAGGTTTACACATTTAAAAGGGACCAAACTAATTACTGCAGTTGTTCTGTAGTGCAACTGGTGCTGAGGCCTGCTTCAGGTGATCATTAACTTGGACGTGATTGCTTAATACCAAGCTCAGATATGTTCTCCAGGGCTGAAATTGCTGCACCTGATGGCATTGCCCTGTTGGCTGGCTAAGTAGCATAAGCAGTGTTCTCCTTCCATAATCCAAGAAACCCTCAAACAAAGCAATTAAGCTCCTACCAGAAATACTTCTGTTCTAAGCATGAGGGTTTCTCAGTGTGGGCCTCATGAAAGATGGCGTAGCTTAGACATAATTCAGACCTCAGTAGCAAAGATGTGTGGATATCTACTCTTACTCCGGTAGTTTGGCCTCCTGTTCAGTTTTGTTTAAAGCCTGTATTCCACTGATTTTGAATTGTCACCCACCCTAGGTAAATGTGCTCCCTTTTCTGTCAGTCCTCTTTATAGAAGCATAACAAGAAATTGCTCCTTTACCCATTGTTTAAAGCTGGTTTTACCTGTGGTCGTTCCCCTCTGCTCAGCACTGGTGGCACCACAAGTGAAATGCGGTGTCTGCATCTCAGTTCTCCAGTACAGTAAGGACATAGACATACAGGGGTGAGTCCAGTGGGGAGCCACAAAGATGATTAACAGATTGGAGCGTCTGACATCAGGGAGAAGCTGAGACACCCGTGCATGTTTAGCCTGAAGAAGAGGCAGTCCAGGGGTGATTTTATCAATGTGTATATAAGTGCCTGATGGGAGGCAGTAAAGAAGATGGAGCCAGACTCTTCTGAGTAGTCTCCAGTGAGCAGACAAGAGGCAATGAGCACAAGCTGAATTATAATAAATTCTGTTTAGACCTGAGAAGGTATTCTTTTACTGTGAGGGAGGTCAAACTGTGGAACAGGTTGTTCAGAGAGGTTGTGGAGTCTCTATCTGTGGAGGTAGCTACAAATCTGACTGGACAGCGTCCTGATCAACCTATTCTAGTTGGCCCTGCTTTGAGCAGAGGATTTGGACTAGTTGGTCTCTTTCATTCTGTGAAAATATAGTTAAATCATATTTCAGGTTCTAACCAACTTTAATTTTCACCTTATATTCATTTTTCAACGTGTTTGTAAACTTTGTGAATATTGTGTTCCAGCAAACTGCATTGCATTGGAGTGCCTACTACAATAACCCAGAGCATGTGAAACTTCTCATAAAACATGATTCAAATATTGGAATCCCTGATGTTGAAGGAAAAATCCCACTTCACTGGGCTGCTAACAACAAAGACCCTAGTGCAGTTCACACAGTGAAATGTATTCTGGTAAGAAACTCTATTTTACATATATATAAATATATATATATGTATATATATAAAAAATACTTTGTGTAACTGTTACTTTACTCTGACAGAAATATTTTTAATTCTCTTGAAATGTTTCTTCTTAGTCCACTGACTCTTTGAGAATGAAATAATTTTCTTTTCCTAATATCTAGAATTTTGTAAGAAATCACCTTAAATATTTTTGCTCTCTTGAAAGGTGTTTCTTCTGAGTTCTATGGGTGAATATCTTTGCTTTAATTCATGGACTATATATATATATTCTCTTAATTAGTTTGACGTGTAACTATTCATTTGGGGGTTAAGGAAGGGAGGAAGGAGTTGCAAGTTCTCCTGGTTAAAATGGCCTGTCATATTACTCATCCCAGTTGCATCTCACAATATCTTTATATCTTTGTCTTTCAAAGGTCTTTCAGCACTAGACACATATTGATTGTAAGCTAACAGTCATGACTTATATGTCTGTTTCCCTGATTAGCTTGCAAGTTGAGAACTTACATGTGGCATATGAAGATTTGCTTTGCTTCTCTCCAAATCACACTGATAATCTTACAGTTACTGATACTTTTTTTTTTTTACCATAAAAATAGTTTTTGAGAAGTTAAATTAATGTCGTTTTATTTCTGTATTACTTTTATGTATTCAAGATATTTGTAATTTGGACTCAGTTGTGAAATAATTTGTCATAAAGAAAAATTTGTCACGAAGTTTTAGTTTGTACAAATCATCTACTTTTCTGCCAGACTAGAGAAATAAATTTGCTGAAAAGTAGGTAAGGATTGCTCTATTCAAATACTGACTTTTTCAAACGTTAGATAGTCAAGGTAAATGTTTTTAAAAGTTGAGGTGGGTTGGCCCCAGCCAACGATCTAACACCCGAACAGCCACTTGCTCACTCCCCTCTTGTGAGGCTGGGAGAAAATAGAAGGCAAGAAGACTCATGGATGAAGATAATGACAGTTTAGTATGGAAAGCAAAAGCTTTGTGGAAAAAAAGGGAATTTATTCACTACTTCCCATCATCAGGCAGATATTAGCCACTCCCATGAAAGTGGGAAAAAAGCTTCAGCATGTTTAATTGTTGCTTGGGAAGCCAGATAGTGTAGCCATGAGCATTCCCCCTGCCTTGTCCTTTCTCTGAGCTCTTTTAGCTGACCATGATGTTGTATGATGTGGGATATTGCTTGGGTCAGTTCGGGTCAGCAGTCCCAGCTGTGTCTCCACCCAATCTCTTGGCCACTCCCAGCCCACTCACTTGGGGCAGCAGGGGAACAGGGCAGGGCGTGTGTTATCAACAATTTTAATCATAAATACAAAGCCCAGCACCATACCTGCTGCTGTGAGGAAAATTAACTCTATCCCAGCCAGATGTACTACAAAAGGTCAAAAATGCCCATCTCCTTACTTCAGGAGTTCTCAAGGATTCTCTTTAGCTAATACAGAATCATGACCATGCCCAGGTTTTTTAGTTCTTTTTAATTTTAACTCTTGACAGTTAGAAGAGTGTATTCTTGAGTCCACCTAGGCTTTTTCATGCATCAACTAAATTGTTTATATTCCAGATAGTTATACCTACATATGCTTATTGATAGAGTAAGATAGTAAGTTTAAATGAAAAAGTAATTTAGCTTACAGAATATGCTGTAAAAGTTGATGATACAGAAACGTTAGTAGGTAATCAATCTGTTGATGGAACCTGTTGTTGAGTATAAATACTGTTTTTTGGTGGTGGTGGTACATCTGAGTTTAAACCTTTAGTAAGACCTTGTCTTCTCTCTAAACTGAAGCATTATTCTTACTTGTCTTGATAGATATCTACGTAGCAGAGCTCGCAATCTTCCCCACCTTTCTTAGCTACTTTTTGCCATATTATCCATTTCCATATCTATTGCCTAAGCATCACTTTTGATTCTTACTCCTCTCTAGGTCTTCACACCCAGTTTAGAATGTGAAAAACTATAAAGTTTTCTGCATAATATTTCTAACGTACATACCCATACAGTTAATATTTTTGTCATCTTGTGTCTTAACATATATAATTGCATTTCTAAATTCATGAGAATATTGTCTTGTAGTGATAGCAGTGAAAAAAACATACAACTCTGCATCACTCTCCCATTTTTTTCATCACATCCAACACAAACCATTTGTCTTTGCTTTCATGAGAGTGCTGGAAGCTGTAAGCGATGTACTGTTGCACAGATAGCGGTCAGATACTGGTATCTACCACCGGTCAATCTGCATTGGCAGCCTTTGTTGCCTGCTGACTAAGTTATGAAAAACAACACTGCTGTTGTTTCTCTCATGTTATCTTTAACACTCTGGAAGAATTTCCCAGGAAATTATTCTTCTGTAGTGACCTACTCGGAATTCTCCAGTGCTGCTTTACAAACTTGACAAAAGTTAAGATGGTGGTTTTATTGAGACCACAGTCTATGATATTGAAAAATATGGGCTTCTTTTTCTGTGCTCTTCCACCTAGATGTGTCCATTTGTTGTCTCCTGTTTATAAATACAAAAAAATTAAGGGTCATCTTTCTGTTAGATGTTTGTGTAGTACTTAGCCCATTGGGATTGTCAACGTAAACAATAATGAAAAAAAACTCAACTGAATGCTGAAAAAGTAGGTTGGGTTTGCAGGGGTGACAGCTATGCACAAATTGGTTCTATCTAATACTGAAATCCAGCAAAAATGGTACTCATGACATATTTCAGAAGTAAACATGTGAAGTAGAAAGAAACTAATCTGGAGATCCTCTCATGGTCAACTTCCTTTTCCACCTTTCCAGATTCAGCAGTGCTTGATTACATGACAAACGTTGGGAAGATTTAAGGAGAAAAGAACAGAATAAGGTTCCATTAATATGATGGAAGCAACTGCTTAGTACTCTCTGTCTATTTTGTATCTCTTCTCTTTATTTATTCTTCATGGTAAGAGACATGACATTTATTTATACAACACTTTCCATTGCCTGCAATTCCATTGTTCTAATTGCTGCAGAAAAATGCTTAGCTTCTGTTTCTTCTGTGTATTGTGCTTAAAATATTAATACAGTATGACAGTTTAATTGTAGCTAGTTTTACACCAAAACCACTTAAAATCCAAAGAAATTCTAGTTTTGAATGTAGGCAGAAAGAGGCCTAGAAAAATTTCTCTTAAGTGGCCAAAAATTTCAAAACATATGAGTACTTTTAGGCTAGAATATAAATAGTGGCTTTGTCATTAAAAGATTCTTTACCATTTTGCAAAAGTAACGGTTTTGATTATGGGGATATGTTCTGGGGAACATCAGTGAGTTTGAGCCAGGATGTTTAGGAGTCATTTATTTAACAAGCTGTTGTGCTTTTAGAAGGCTTGAAAATTAGCTTTCCAGATTACATTATAGGTAAAGTGAAGAAGCATTAGTTTTATTGTTTGTCCATTTTGTTCAAACAGGTTTTCCTCTGGTGAAGTTAGAATTCCAGTAATAACTTCTGTGCATATCATCGTTCATTTTTAGTCATTCTTAAAAGTGATTCTCATAAAGATCACTTCTGAATTTTTGCAGTGGGCTCTATACTCCCCCTGCTGAGCTCTTTGAATAGACAGAAAGTAAGCATATTATGTGGTAGCTTTCTCTTGAGAGTTATTAAAGCTAAGGAAGAACATAAAAAACATCACTTTTCACTGTAATGGCTCAGATAAATGCTTTTAATGCTTATTAAAAGAAGTGTTATTCATGCTTTGATTATTGTGGTTTGTGCATGTAACAATGATTGTATTTTTAGTTAAGAGATTCACATTTATCAATTTTTTATTTTTTTAATAGATTATCTTATTGTATTAGTGGCTATAGTAATGAACTGCAGTACGTACAAGTATGTTAATTTTTTTCTGTAGCAAAGCATGGCTAACCAATAATATCTAAAACTGATGCAGTTTTTTTATATGAGAGTCAACTTAGTGATTACATACAGTATGCAAAGTATGTAAATGTTTAACTTCAGCAAACTTACATTGATCAACTATTAGGTTTGAGTTGACACTGTTAGAAAGTAAGACAGTAAGAAACAAAGAATCAGGGCATTGCAAAGTTGAGGCTACTACTACAGTATTAATTTAAGTGAAGTTGCGCTTAGGAGGCATGGTTGAATATAACTAAATGTATTTGGTTTTTTATCTATTAAATAGAACATATAGAATGTACCACCTTGGTCAATTAATATTTGGATAGAAACTGTACCTCTGGAGTTTCTGACTTTCTGCTTCTTTATTTATCATTCTCAATGTTAAATGTTTGTTTTCTATGTAATAGTTATTACATATCAAATATTGCAAATACAAGAGATTTCTTGGCCTGTTTGTCTACCTAGTGAAGTCAATAGAAAAATTGCTGTTAGTTTAGTGAGAAAGGGATCTGGAAGTCGCTTTAACTGTTAACAAGCTGCACTGATCACAGTCTCTCTCTCCTCTTTCATAAGTATATTGTAAGATATAGCGTGGCTCTGTATTGTGTGGAGGATTGTTCTCAGTTATCATGGGTTAAAATCTACTCTAGTGTTGGAAGTTAAAAATCTCAGGACTACATTCCTTTTTCTTTTGCAGAAGGTTTCCATGACTTCAGTGGATCGTTTTTAATTGTTGGAGACAGAATAGCAGGCTTACTCCCTATAGTTTATTTAAGCTCTGGATTTGACATTCTGCTTCTGCTCTAGATGCCTGGTGTCCTGCATCCTGACTTTCTATTGTTTTACTATTTCCCATTTTCTTTAGAGATAACTTTTTTTCAGGAAAGGGAAGTTTGAAGTTTGTATTTCATGGGCTGTTGTGATATTTGCCATTTGGAGATCTCTGCAACACTGATGATGTTCATTTGTACCTGTTGTGTTCTTTTACCTGAGAAGAAAGTCATTAAGAGAAATCTGACTAGAAAAAAGTTGTCGCGAGAGAGAATTATCATAATATTAAGCTGTATAGCCAGAAGCCTCATGTGAGAGTAATTTAGCATTTTTTTAAGAAATTGTGGTGAAAAGTCAAGTTATATCTATTAATGCCTAATGTGATCAAATAACTGTCACAATACTTTATAAGATTTTCTTATTCAAAAATAAGCCCATTACAAGTAGCTGGATTCATTAGAAGTATTCTCTAACTTACTTCTACCCAGTCAGTTAGAGACTTTGACATGAGCTCTAGAAATACTCTGATAGTCCTGTGGTTTTAAAATGCTAGAAAAGTGTTATAACGAAAGCCACAAGATTAACTTGTGCAAAAAAGGGGAGTGTCCTAGGAGAAAAATATGAAGATATGTATGTTGTGTTCAACTTAGAAAATCAGATAAGAAGATCTAGTTATTTTTACAAGAGCCTGAGTTAGCCTTTTAAAGATCTGTGTAAGGAGCCACTTGCACAACAGACTGGTAAAACTACAGGGTATATACCTAAAATGAGGTCTTGTACAACAAGTAAGTATAAAAATATTCTGTAAGAAATACTTTAAAATAGCCTATACTGTAACAAAGTTATTTGGTGGTAGAGCTATATTCTACTAACCAAGAACAGTTCATCTCTCCTTATTACAAGACTCAACAAAAAAAATCTGTAAAGAGTATATAGTTTTTCTCTTCAACTTTCTTTTATTTTATTTTTAAAGGAAGCTGCACCTACAGAATCTCTGCTTAACTGGCAAGACTATGAAGGACGAACTCCCCTTCATTTTGCTGTTGCTGATGGGAATGTAGCTGTTGTTGATGTCCTCACCTCCTACGAAGGCTGCAATGTGACATCTTATGACAACTTGTTTCGAACTCCCCTTCATTGGGCAGCCTTACTTGGTAAACTGGACAATGCTGAAGTCATTTAATAATTAATTGGTGTTTAATCTTTGTCTCTGATTTTTATTTAATTCCAGCCTGTCATTATGCTAACTAATCTTTGGAACAATAATAGTTTCTGCTAGACCAGGATTAGAAGCTTGTATATAGGCTTTTTTTTTAAAAAAAAACCAACTTCAGATTCTCCAAAGCATTGTAAAATGTGTTACTTCAGCAGGCTATATGTGCTCACGATTTAAGAACAATTAGAGTATACTGAGATGTTCTTACATATGTAGCTTTGTTAATATGTGAAAAAAAAAAAAAAAAAGCTGGTACCCTAGAGCAGTGGTGTCTGAAGTGGGGTGTGCACACCCCAGCATGTATGAAAGACAATCCCTTGGAGTGCATGAAGAAAATATCGGAACTTCTGTTTATTTTTTATCTGAAAAAATAAGAAAACTTTACTAATATTTAATAGACAGATTGATGCTAGCACCCTCACTTGGCCCATATGTAAGATGGTCCCACAGGGTTTGCAAGGTGCTTGAGGGAAATGAGTGCTCCACAACATGGAGGGATTGACAGTGGCATCGTCACTCTTTTCTATTGTGATATATTGCAGTTTATGTGTGACCAATTAAGTGGATTTAACAATTATATTATCTAGTTTTTACTAAAATAGACAAGTGTCCTGCAAAAAGATTCCTGCAAAGAAACCACAGATAATCTGATAGTGCCAGCACAAGTGAACAACAAGAAAATGGCAGAGCTGGCACTTCTACTCCTAGTACAAGCTCTTCATCAGACACATTAGGACAATCTAATCAGATCTGACAAGAAGTTCTATTCAGATAAAGTTTTTTTCTGTTCAAATTGCTACCTTGAGATTCAGATGCTCTGTAAATTATAATCTTGCATATGTGAATTCTGCACAGTTTGGTTTTACAAGTTGCAAACTAGGTGTTTGCGAAACAGGTGAAAAACCTGATTAAATATAAGTAGTCTAAATACAGGGAAACACAACTAATAAAATGACAGGCACAGAAATAATATAGTTGGGAAAATTGACCTCATATTTTTTATTCTGCTATGTGCAGGAGGAAAAAATAAACACCATGTACCAGATAAAAAGGAAGAACCTTCAGACATTCTTTCTCCACTTTTAACGGGCTTCTTCCCCATGACCCTCTGGGACACTGCAGACAAAGCATGCCAATAAAGGAATCAGATATCTTGCTGGAGTGGATTACTGCAACTCCAGTGACAATATACATGTAGTTTGATTGTGTTTATTTAAAAAAAAAAAAAAAAAAAAAGAAGAGTAGTGTTCTCAGATTTACATTCAAGTAGGGATATTGAATTTTTACAGAGAAATTGCGAAACTTTTAAAGTGCCATGGGATCGGTCTCACAAAGAAATAGTTACTATCACTTGGTTCTGTCCAAGAAGAAAAATTTATTGTGTTTTGAAATTGATTGTATTTAAGAGAGAAGTTTTGTCTGTGGAAAAATGGATTGTCTAATCAATGTGGAATAAAGGGGGAAAATGTGCCAAGACCTCCAGTGTCCTTTGTGAACTTGATGAGGTCTCTAGGTGGCATATGCCCATGAGGAACTTCTGATTGGTAAATCATGATTCATTTTTAGAGTTCTGGTTTTAAGTAAGATACTGGATGCTGCATATAGATCTCAAAGGGTCTAAAAGCTTACTAAGTGGGTTAACTGTAGGAGATTTAAGTATTGCATGGATACAGCCACAAATATTCCATTAAAAGTGATGGGTTGCATGTGGCTGCATCTTAGGGCATTGTTACTCCCGTTACCTTTTCTTTTGTGTAGATAAAAGTCTCATCCAAGTTACATCTCTTCTAAATAAAAGTATTACAGAAAGGACAGTTCTCAAGAATTGAGTTTTAATGTTTACGTTAGTATCCAAGTGAGATCCATCTTTGCACCAATTTCTTTACTTTTGCACCCAATACAAAACTTTTTTTCAACTCTCTTGAGCCTTCTTTCTCATAGATAATTTAGGTAGACCTAATTTAGGTAGTCCCGATTACAAAGTTCAGTTACCCTTTTTCTGGTTGTGTGTCCTGAAAGTTCAGGCAACTTTTTTTCCAGGCTCAGTACTCCTATGTTTTTTCTCTCAAGATTGCACTCAGAACCAACTTCTTCCAGTGCACCTCCATTCACTTCTTACAGTCTTGAGATGGGAAAAGCATAGCAATATTGCATCTCTTCTTTTTAGTGGTTTTCTGATAGGAAGGGACAGTGTGTTGTGATGTTCTGGGTTCAGGCTTGTCTTAATGGCTGAAAGTAAAGAGCCTTCCTGTACACCCCAAGGGCCCTAGAAGAAAATAATCCCCACATAGCTCTTCATCCTTTTTGACCCAAGTTGATCATTTCCTTTCATTTCTGATACCTCTATGCATATAAAGTCTGAAAGTGCCATTCCACAAAAGAAGGCTTGCCTAGTCCCCCATCTCATATGTTTTTAAAAGCCACAGACCACAACAACTGTTACACAGCTTCATTCTGTAATTGTCAGTGTTTTCATTAAAAAAAATCTACTGCTAGTAGAAAGGCTTACCTACTTTTTTTTTCATTTGTTCTAAAGTAATTCAAGTCAATTCTGCAAAAGTAACAAACTGCAAAATTGATTGTTTTCCCCACACACAAGATACTGGGAGATTTCTCCTGTAAAATCAGAGTATTTTTATGTGATTTTTGCCTTACAGTATCAAATCATTAAGATATTCTGTGAGCTGCATATGCCTACAAAGGAAAGCATATGAAGGGATCAGTTGACTTCAGTAGCAATGTACTATATTGTGTCTTTGTTTTCCTCTCTGTGAAGTGGATATAAAGTTTGTCCATTTCCCATCCCTACCCCCATGTTGTGGTTTTAATCTAAAATCACTCTAATCTGGTTCGATGGAAGTTGTGTGTGTCAGTTTGTTGCTTATATGGCAACTGGTAGTAGACTAGACTCCAGATTCTGTGATATGTCTTCAGTTGAAATGTTGATTGAATAAAACCTAAGTAAAGAATTTACACTTAATTTCTGTAAAACAATGTGATGTAGGATGAAATTTTCAATGTTGGTTTAGCCCACCTTTTAATGTAGATGGACAAATGCTCATCATCATCAGTCTGTGTTCACTTTACTGCTTCTGACCTTTCACTCAAATGCAGCATCTCAACTGAATTACCAGAAGCTTTTTCTGGAAATGTTCAACTCATTCGCTGCAAAGTTAATATCACAGTTTTCTGACCAGCTACTGCTGTTTTATTTGTTTAGGGAAATGCTTTAGTGATTTCTTTTAAAAGAAACAGGAAATCTTTCCACATATTCCTATTCAAAGGTAATTACAATTTACAGATGCCCATCAAAATTGAGGATACTGAGTGTGGAACTGGAACACTATTGGGAATAAGATGCATGACAGGCTTAGTAGTTCAAATATCAAGTCTTATGTTTCTCTCTTATGTTTAGACTATAATGGCTACAACACAAACATTCTATTATTTATTGAAGTCTGTTAATTTTCTTATGTTATTTGTTGTTTGTTTTTTTCTTTCTTTTTGATAGGACAGTGTTTAACTTTAGGATTCAATACATATCTGGTTTTATTATATTATTTTTCTCAGGTCATGCACAGATTGTCCATCTCTTATTAGAAAGAAATAAGTTTGGAACTATCCCATCTGATAGTCAAGGTGCAACACCCCTACATTACGCAGCACAGAGCAACTTTGCTGTAAGTAGCACATACCCTAAATGTGAAGTAAATATATTTTGCTGAAATATTTATAACATAACAAAGTGATTGAGTTGTTTTTAAAATTGTATAAACACAGTGTTGTCTGCACAAGCTTAATTCAGAATTTTCCTATGTTATGTGATATAAATGTGGTTAATTTCAAACTATTAAAAATAGATTTAAAAAAAATATAAATTGCTGTACAAAGAAAGGCCCTCTGATCTGTATGCTTGCATCAGAACACACACTAGTCATTTAGGTACTTCAGCAGAAAGCAGAATGGCACCTACTATTTTACAGTGCTTTCATTTTTCAAGGATCGTTATAGCAAAATTATAAGGTATCTAGAGTATATCACCTGTATGAGTATTTGCACATCTGCTTTACTATCAGTCAAACCAGTCTTTGCCTTCAAGAACATGATTAACTTATGAATATTTGCTATTATGAATGAGCCATTGTCTCACAAAGCATGGCTAAAGAGCGAGTACCTCAGAATCATAGCATAGTTTGGGTTGGAAGGGACCTGTAAAGGTCATCTAGTCCAACCCCCTTGCCATGAGCAGGGACGTCTTCAACTAGATCAGGTTGCTGAGAGCCGCATCCAACCCGACCTTGAAGGTTCTCAGGGATGGGGAATATGGGCAACCTATTCCACCTTTTGTCACAATTCTCCATGAGCACTATATTTTTAAAAGTTTTTAAAAGTTTTTAATATTTTAAAAATATTTTTTATGTTCAGACAACAAAGAAAATTAGTTTCTCAAACAGCCTAATTCTTATATTTTGGTAGAATAGGTAATTTTTTTCCAAAGCAAGACCAGATATGGTAGAGCTAAGTATAAAACTCAGCATTTTAATGATTGCTGGTCATAGATATTACTATAGAAGTAGTTCTCAAGCACTGGAACTTAAGAAGGCTTTTTTCATGCTCCTCTGTCTCTCACAGTTGAATTAAGCCATGCGTAGTAAGCTGAGAGCTCCCATCTATGTTTTCTTCAGTTGTATTATTCATAACCTGCCTTTACAAAAAGGGTTTTTTAGTGCCTAATTAATGCAGTTATGTAGTGCATATTGCAGCATTTCCTTAACAGGGATACTAATTCGGGTCCTTCTTGCCTACCAATGTGTTAGTTGTCATTAAACAATTACAATTTTAATGCCCTTGAGAACCACTAAAGTTAACAAATCCAGAAGTACTACTGAAAGAGGGAACTGACTGATACATATGAATACCACAGCTGTCGCCCTCTGTTTCCTTGAGAGAGTGAGTTTTGGGGTTTTGGTGGGGTTTTTTAGAGATGGTCTTAGTAAAATCATAGAGATTTTTATTTTTTTTTTTAATTCAGACTTTCATTGGAGCATATCTCTGTGTAGAATTTACACCTTTTTGGAGATTTTTTTATTGATGCTGATTATTGTCCATTATGTGGTATGTACAGTTTGGGTCTGATTAACACGCCTAAAATATTTATGTTGTAAAAACCTTTCCCCATGAGTTTGAGTCAGACTCATGGGGAAAGATAGAATGTTTTTATTTACAATCTGGTGGTTATCTCCATGTGCTTTTTTTTTTTTTTTTTTTTTCTCTGTATTGATACATTCCTAAAAAAAGATTTTTTCATACTGGCTTGCTTTCTCTGGACTCAATTGAGTAATGATGAAACATCTTCATTATTTTGTTGCCTTTTGATCCCACCAGCCAACCAAACCATGATATTGTTTAGGTTTTCATGGGAAAATAGAGTAGGTGGTGGAACCAGGCATTCTTTTGTAATCTTGTGTACTTAGAATGAACATTCTGTTTCACATCTTACATGAAGAATCAAACAGGAGAGTCACATTCAGATTTGCAAACTTCTTTTAGCTGGTGATGTATCCAAGAGCCCTTGTTTATGCATGTCTAAATTATGTCTGGAGCTTCTCTCTTTTTTACCACTATGGTTGTTTCTGAGCACCACTATTTGCTTTTTTTTTTATTATTAAATACAAATACTTGAGCAATTCCTACCACTGCAATCCATATACATAGTCAAACAACTGAGCTGAGACATATCAATGTTTGTTTTGGCAGTAGCACCTATATATTTATGGTTTGAGAGCCATGTTGTTGTTCTGCTCAGTCCATCTAAATTTGCATAGGTGTGGTGTGTTTCTCAGTTAAAATGCGACGTTTCTTAGTCCCTAGCAAGAGAAAAAAGTTTGTTCTTTTGTGTTTATTATGAGTATTTGTGTTGTTTTCAGTTTTACTTAACTCAGTATCTTGTTCTTTGCTCTGTTTTTCTGCAGATTACTTACTCTGATATTTTTGTTTTTTAAATACTGAACAGATTTAGCCAGAAAATCTATGTGAAGAATTTGTTCTCTAAGACTAATTTATCCCACTTACTATAGAAGGAAAAGTTCTAGAAGAAAAGTTACCTAATATAACCACCCAAATAGGTTGCCTGAAATTTTAGATGGCTTATGTATCTGACAGAAGATTCAAATAAACATCCTTTTTAAATTTTTGAACTTCATGTGTGAAGGCAGATGCTTTATTATTATTGATTTTAGTGTGCAGAATGGAGGACTAAATATATGTAATTTTTTTCTGAAATTTTCCAGAGATGTCCGAGACAATGTACTTCCCTTTCACATACTTGTATAGATTGGTCTAGTAAATTAAATGTAGACACCCCTGTCTTATTTTTGAATATTCAAAAATAATATTTAGTTTTTTTCAGAGTCTCTCAATAGCACAGAATGAAATGATGTGGATTTACTTCTCTCCTTTTCTGTTGTTTTTCAGCTTTGTTGTTTTTTATGTGTTCTCCACTTACTTTTAATAGAGATAAAATACACGTGATTTTTCATGACAAAATACATGTAGAATTAAGCTGATTGATACTTATGTTTTCTGGTTACTTAAGCATCCTGTTCAAATCTAATTTCATTTTGTTTTCAAGTTGTGATAAATTCATTTTGGAAAATAACTCTTACAGCACTATGGGATTTTCTTCCACTTTGTCATATTAAAAACTCTAGGGGAAAAAAAAAAAAAAAAAAAGAGCGGCTGAAAGAAACATTGCTTTGCTAAAACTTAATGGAAAAATGAAATTACTTATTTATGTTTGTAGGATGTGTGCCTTAGTATTGAAAAGGTCCAGCCCTCATACTGCTTTTCACTTTGCAGGATTTCAAGCAGTGCAGAGTACTGGTAGGGTGCTGAGTTGCTGGCCTAATGAGTAGCCGTTTGTGTCTGAGGTGTAGTGGTCATCAGTGTGAGTGCACAAAGCTATAAACACATGCTGGCTGGTGTGGAAGGCTTCATGCTTCCATCTTCCATTCCTCATTATTTCTGGCTGGACCTTTTTACAATAAACTGATAGTTCAGATGTGGACCCAAATTCACAGAGCTATTAGGATCTTAGGTCACATTAACATAAGAAAAATTAGAAATTTCCTATTTCTTTAAAGGGATGAAATAATAAGTAGTAGTTTAAAAAAATTCAAACTAATCAATAGGACTTAGGCATTTAAACACCTTTATGATTATAAGCATTTGATTCCTTATAGCCAAGGAATCCCCATCCTACCAAGAGCAGTGATAATGCTATTTTGGGGTCACACAGGGGAAAGATAAAATAGTGTTAATACTAAAATATAAAAATAAAATAAAATAACGAAACCCCCTTTTTAAAGTTTTTTGTGGGCTAGCCCATCAGTGGCTCTTAAGACATATTTACCAGTTGTTAAATACACAGCCTTTGTAAGGCATTAGATAGAAAACGGAAAATCTTCCCCTAATTATTTTTCTAGCAGTCATGATTTCCTCTCCCTTTCTTTCCTTTGTGGCTTGTTAGGAATTTAGCAGCAAGTTAAACAAGTGGACTTGTTTGCTGAGGGCTTAGCACAAACACGGCATTTGAAGAAATAATTCTTTTTACTTTTATTTAAATAGAGATTTTAGTGTAACAGTGACAGTGGAAAGCCTGGGCTCCTGGGCTCAAGTATAAAGGTTTTCTTAATTTGTTTTTATTTATAATGCTTCAGTAATTAGTAACCTGTTGATATTATTAAATATTAGGAAATTTGTCTATGTTGCCCCAAAAGTACTTTTTTTTTTTGTTTAATAGACAAATTATTAGAGTTTGGCAGACTAAAATTTGCATGTGCAATCATATTTAGAATGGGAACAAATAAATATGTCAGGAGAATATTCTGAAGGAACATTATTTTAGCATCATAGTATTACAGTAGTGTTTTGATAAGCCAATAATATTTTTCACATTGCTTTCTTCACAGTGACTGCAGTGTCTTTTACTTCCTTATGATGAACACATGATGTTTGACACTAAAAAGAAAAAAGTATTAAATAAATGGGTGTTCAAGTCATAGTTAAGGATGCACAGTGAACATTGATGAAGAAAAGGGCATAGCAGAAAATACAGTGCTCCTGTTGGGCTATCACTCTATATAAACATAAAAAGAAAAAGGAAGCTTTGATTTGCTTCATAAACTGCTAAATTAAACAGAAGAGTTCGTTGTTGTTACAGATTCCTTTTAATGTTAATTTCAATAGTATGTCTTTTCAGGAAACAGTTGAAGTATTTTTGAAACATCCTTCTGTAAAAGATGACTCAGATCTTGAGGGAAGAACATCCTTCATGTGGGCAGCTGGCAAAGGCAGTGATGATGTCATTAGGACTATGCTGACTTTAAAATTGGATATTGATATCAATATGACAGACAAATATGCTGGCACAGGTAAGATGCTTTACAGTAAAGAACCACTGGATGTTTCCAGTTAGTGTGATTTCCACCAAAAAAAAACATTATTGGGAGCTATATTACTCTTTTCTTGGATGCATACCTTAATCCTGAAAATATTTCTGCATTAGTTTAATTATATGCGTGAGTCACTTCTTTGCCTTATTGTGGGAGAGAAACAAATCTTTCCTCCTCAGATTGAACCAGTTAATTTGAAACATAGCTAGAAGAAGAAATGTACTGCTTTGCTGCTATTTAGTTAGATCTGTAATTCTGGGAAAGGAAGAGCTGTTCTGTATTTTGAAGAATAAAACGAAATATAATTGCATAAAAATCCCTCCCTGAAAACACCTGCTAAAAAAAATTGTCAATAAATAAATACTTTGAAACAATGTAGAGCAAATGAACCAGTGAAATGTCTGAATTATCATCATGAAAATCGTACAATAGTTATTTGTAAAGATAGTGTCATAAAGATTAGAACTATTGCACTTCTGTTGTCCAAACAAGAGGTTAAACTTTATATCCCCCAAGTTTATAATCTCATTATCTGCCTGAAGCAAAAGATAGGTGTGCAACACAGTGCTTCAGAACTCAAGCGTGAAAGTCATTAAATTCAGAATTTCCTGTAGCAATTATGAATTTTATCTCCTTTAATGAAAAGTTATAAGCATTTGTAGTAGAAATATTGTACCTCTATAGTACTTTCAACAGAAATAGAAGAACGGTTCTGTCAGAGAGACAGGTGATGAAGTGTATATGTATTCAACAGTGTTGGAAATACAGGTAAAAGTAGTGGAGCTGTAGGGTGTGCTGATAACATGGAGTAAAAATAAGAGGAGAATGTGGATCTGTTGGGCATAAATTGGAGGGGTTTGATGTAATGGGGCTGCAGGGGTAAGCTGTGTGAGAGGAGGTCATGAACGACCCTGTGCCAGTCATGGCCAGGTCACAAATTTAGAAGTGCAAAAATGGATAGCACACACCCGTGAATAATTCAGAAGAGGACATTTCTTCTGAAAAGAAAACTGTTTTTTTTAAGCAAACAAGAATGTATATTGCAATGTTTGTTTGTATAAATTTTAATATATTTGTTTTGAAGTATACTCAAGCATCATCTTTTGGCCGCACACACACAAACTAGCCTAAGCTGAATGCTTAGATTTAGGGAATTTACAGTGTAGATATACCCCAACCAAGAAACAAAGATAGGAGTTTAACAGCTCTTCTCTTTTCAGATCACACTTCAAATAACATACAAATGGTAAATAAATGCAATGTCAGGGTTGCATGGTTCAGGATGTGAAAGATAGCATGTATGGATATTACTTTCATATGAAAAAAAAAAAATTTCCTTTGGTGGTGTAGTGGGTCTTTACACAAAAAGCCAAATACAGTTACCATAAAATTTTATTTAAATATCTAAATTCTAGCTTTCCTTACAAATTAACACACAAAAAAATCAGGTTTTCCAAGTTATGATATTTTGCATTTTTGAGTTTAATAAACAGTGTAACAAATAAAATCTCAGTCTTCATGTTTGATGACTTTACAAACTACATACTCTACAGTTTTAGTCTTGTTTTATCTTTTACCAGTCTCACCTGTATTTGCTCCTTCCTGACAGTTCCCTTTTAAATAACTCACAGTATTTGTTTCAGACCTTAAGGTGCAGTAGTGTTGCAGTCACTGTGCAAACCTCCTTACAAAGGATTTTCTTCTTTGGAGACAGTAATCACACAGTGTTTCTGAAATTACTCAGGTGTGGATTTCATGCTTGAATAATTCAGGTGGTTGGGTTTATTATCTTTCAGTCTTAAACCTTTCATAGCAATGATGTGTAATCACCTTTTAGTCTTGATTTTGTTGTAGGGCTTTTAATCCAAGGAAACGAATGGATTTTCCATTTACTTGAAACTGCTGTTGTGTAGAACACACTAATAGCCTTAAAGTGGGAACTACGCTGTTTGTCACTTGCTGCCGAGCAATCTGAACTTTACGATTGTGCAAGCATGTGCAGTAGCATGGGCTTTATTATAGTGAGCTGTAAACTTAAAAGGAAGTCCACTGGTAAATCACTCTCTGATTTCAGACCTGTTTTTTTTTCTGAAGGTTCTTAATCATTCCCAAGTTTTGGTGAGGGAAAAGGAGAGTTGTATTCTGACAGAGAACTATGCACTAATAGAAAGTAGCGTACATGCCACCGTGCCTGGGATACAGTTGCTGAGGAGAGTTCAAGGTTGTGTTTTTCTGACTTTTGTGTGGGGGCTTGGTTAAGCTCAGTTATAATGTTGCGTTAACACAGCCTTTTGCATTTACTTAAAAAGAGCAAGCTCTCCATTCAGCCTTGCTAGAACATCGAGACTCTCCGCATTGTGTAGGAGAATGACACCAAGGGAAAGGAATTTCCCTCTTCTCAGAGATCAGCGCTGCAGGAGCATTACAGGGGCAGCTTTATAGCTCTGCCGTCACTGCGTACAATGGAGAGGGCTCTGGCTGCCGGCTGAACAAAGGGCCTATTGTGACCAGCTGGCCGAAGAATCTCTTCAGTCACCGTGACTCCATCACAGAAAATTTGGCTTACAAGAAAATATTGAGCACAAAGTGCGAAACGAGATGCCTGCGTCAGAATGAGTGATAGGGGGGAAGAGCTGGCCAAGCTGACACAGCAGCTCTTTTTCTATTGTATTGTTATACACACCCCATGTGTCATCTGATGGAGTGGTTTACTGCCTTTGGTTTCATAAGAGATGCAGTACAAAAACCAGAACCTAGAGTTTACTGTGAGGTCAGACCATGAAAACCAGGCCCATCCAAATGTACAAAGCGACAGGGATCTCATTCTTGTCAAACTCCTCCTGATAGCCACCTACTCACACAGCTGCTGCAGAGCTTACTGCTTACAGATATTTTTCACGAGTGCGATGAGCACCCCTATGCTTTTTAGCAGCAACAGTTAAACATCAGTGTCATCTTAAAGGCATGATTTCAATTACTAAGGCAGCACTTCTCACACTGTCTCTGGCTGTGACCCCAGTTCTTGTAGGAAGTGCCTCATTTGTCTGTACCACCGTTCCAGTTACTGTCACTGATTTTGAGAATGTGTGTTTTAAGGCAACACACTTCGGCAGGATTTGATTCACGGACAGCATGAACAACCTGTGCGTTTTAGCAGTGCCTGTGTAACAGGTTACGCTGGGTTACTGTTTCGCAAGCTGTGTGAAGCTGGTACCAGTGGTAAACAGTAGCAGAAAAATATAAAAAGCCTGACTGTTTTGATATTCTGGCTGCAGTTCAAGAAGCAATTCCTTCTAACATTGGCCTTCGTGGTGCGCCCTTCTGTATAATGCCTCTGCTGGATCCTGACCCTGCCTCTTTTAACATTAAACAAGTAGAGACATGTAGGTACTGTTTACAGTCCCACATTTTGCTTGCTTGAGCAGACTGAATTCTCACCAAGGATGAATATTGGTGAAATTTCATGGGGAAATATGAATTCACTTTACTAAGTGCATATTTATGACTTGCACTGTTTTGTATTTCAGTCTAAATTATTTTGTCATCTTTGAAATATTCTACATGTAAGGCAGTATGAGAATGTAGATTATCTGATTCGATTGCTGACTATAGGAACAGCTGGGTAGTTGTCTGGAGTTAGTTTTAATTGAGACAACTTTGCTTATTTGAAAGAAATAAAGGTATTTTCAGGAAAATGTTGAAGAAATAATGAAAGCTTTCTTTCACTGACAATGGCCAGTTTCATCTCCATTGGGGTGATGGAGATGCCACAAAACAGAGGCAGAACCAGATCATGTTATATTCTCTTAATCAGGAGTTGCTAACCTTCACCAAATCTGCAGCAGAAGCCAATGTTGGTGGTGTTAAGGTTAGAATTCCTACTTGTACAAGTTAGGAACACGTTACAGGGTTAGGAGTTTTTCTGCATATTGCTTGTATGGCAAGAAAATTTGGTTAGTGATCACTTGTTATGATTCTTCAGTTGCTTGTTGAAAAGCACTTTTTTCCACCAAAATGGTTGAAATTAATCTTTGACTGTTCTAATTGTGAACCTCCAAAGCTCATCGTATTGTGATTTCCTTTTCCTTCCGCTTTATTCTTTTAGCATTACATGCTGCTGCCCTGTCTGGCCATGTCAGCACAGTGAAATTGCTGCTGGAACATAACGCGCAGGTAGATGCTTCAGATGTCATGAAACATACCCCGCTTTTCCGAGCCTGTGAGATGGGACACAAAGAAGTGATACAAACGCTCATCAAAGGTCAGCTGTTATGAATTTACAAATCTGTTCAGAGTTCTGGTGCTGCTTTCTGTGGGACTGGGAAATAGACAGCAGAACTGAGCAAGAGGTGGGGTAGAAAATTACTTCCCTATAGCAAGTTTTGTCTGTAAGTGTTCTTTGTGGAACAGCATTAGTAAATGTAAAAGATTATCGGTGTTGTGCAAAATGGCTAGAAGTGTTAAATATAAAACTTTGAAAACTGGGATAGTTCTTTTCACTGCTCTTTTCTGCTCAAGCCTTTTCAAGTACATTCTAGTCTCTCAAACTGCCTCTTCCCCCAGCAAGTCATTGTTTTTCTTTCTTTTTTTTTCCCCTCCTGTAAATAAGACCAAATAAAGCTTTCTTCTCTTTTGTGAGAAAGCATTTTGAGGCTTCTTTGAAGACTTTTTGACTATTTAAATGAATCTTTATTTTTTAAAGAAGGTAGCTATCAAAAATCCTAAATCATTAATGTTTTCCTCTGGTTGGTTTTTATAAGCAGTATTTTATTTCCAGACAGGAATAAGATTTAACAATGCACACAGTTTTCGACAATTGTAAAATCTCTGCTGAAGTGTAAGAAGTATGGTGAAAGAACAGTGGTATCTTAGATGCAAAATTCTGTCATTTTAGCTTCACAGAAATGTTCCAAGTAGCTGGAAGCAGTCTCCCTCATACTTGAGATATTATCCCATTTATGGACAGTTGAAGTATCCACACTAACAAGTTGCAAGATTTCTGTCAACTAGCCTTCCTTACTGAAAAGTATGCTTCCCTCTGTGATCTGCTGGGCATATTTTAACCTCCTGTTAAGCTCTTCCTCCCACCCTCTATGCCACTTAGCTTTTGTAGCTGCAAGAGGCTTGGTTATCAGAACCTGAGTTTTGTTTAATTAATATTTTATGATATAGACAGTCATTGTTTCTGGTTGGTTCAAGTTTTTATATTTATGGAGTTTGTACAGGGTTTTTACATCTTAGAAGAAGACATAGAGAAATCAATTACCTGCATAAAAGAGTCTTAGCATGCTTGAATTAAAAAAAAAAATCAAGTTTTTTTCAAAAGTCATTCTTACACTGTGAATATTTTATCTTGTCCGCTTCAGAGATTTAAAAAGAGCTTTCATCTGAAGTCTAATTTTCAAAAGTAATTTTGTTGTTAAGAAATAAATTTCACTGAAAATTAATGGGCCTCAAACAAATAAAGGCTACGTTTTTCAAGGTCATTTGACAAATCTGGAGATTCTGAAGCATCTGAGAGGATACTCAGAAGCTTGTAAAAAAGCTAGATGCTGACCCTCACTGAAATTATTTAATTCCCAGTTAATTTTCATCTAGGTTTTAGCATTTGAGTAACAAAGTTGAAGTTACTTTCAGAAATATTTCTCTGAATTGTCAGTTTACCAAATAAGTTCTAGTGGAACATAAACTTATTTTTTCCTTATCTTTGCATTTAGAAGTTTGTTTTTTTTTTTTTTTTATGTTCAAAAATATACTCGTTTTTACAGGAGGAGCAAGAGTAGATTTGGTTGACCAAGATGGCCATTCGCCCCTTCACTGGGCAGCACTGGGAGGAAATGCTGACGTGTGCCAAATCTTGATAGAAAATAAAATCAACCCTAATGTGCAGGATTATGCAGGTAGAACACCTCTTCAGTGTGCTGCTTATGGAGGTTACATTAACTGCATGGTAGTGTTACTGGAAAACAATGCAGACCCAAATATTCAGGATAAAGAGGTATGTTGTTCTTCACTGGGCTATTTAATTAACTTCAGAATAACTAAATCAAAGCATTTTCCTTTTCTTCAAGGTCATTCTCTTTTCTGGGACATAGAAGCATCATTGCTTCTGGTTATCACAAAAGAAAATGCATCCTGACATAATTTTCCCTATGGCTTCACTTCTTAAATGAAAAGTATTATTTTAATATGCAGCATGAATTGAAAATTCATATTTTTCCATATCACTTCTGACTTCATCAATGTATGATCTTATGAGGAGTCATATTGATCTTCTTTAGTTCCTCATTGACAGCTGACATGGGAGTGTGATTTTATAGTCTGTAGTGTGTTTCTTCAGCATAGATATAGAGCAAGTGAGATTGCACAAGAACTGCTTCAGTTATTTATCCACATACGTACCAGTCTTCCAGGTGAAAAAAAAAAACCAAACCCCACACTGCTTAATTTATATGTTCTTTTGTGCCATTATTCAAGCGGTAAGTGAAATTAGGAGCCAGAATAATTGTGCAACATATAACAGGTTTCTTGGTTATATGACATAATTTCTCAGAAGTTGGTAGAACTTCATCAGTCAAAAGAATTTCACCCAATTTGTTAAAGTTTTCTGTTAGCTGTTCATCGTAGGGCATGGATAATTCCAAGTAATGAAATAATTCCAGGTTTTTTATTATGAGTTCTACGGAGCATGCTGGGGAGATTTTCCAGCCTGCTGCCAGCTCTGTATGGTATCAGCTTGAGTACAGCTGAACACATCAGCTCTGCCTATTTCACACAGAGACACCGCAGCATGCTCTTCAGCCCTTGGGGTTCAGGGGGTGGCTTGCTAGCACTGAACTCGGAATGTCTTCATGTTTTCCTGTGGTACCCAGCCTCCTAGGTATTTCCTACATTTGGAGTTCAGAAAAGCAAGACGCAGACAGCAGGCATGGCCTGGAAGTGCAGTGGAATATCTGTATTTTGTTCATATTAACAAAGCTTGAGGTATTCATGTTGTAGCTCTGTGATCCCAGTTCCAAGAGTGGTCATATATGAACCAGCTGTATAGAGTGCAGCTTGAGAGTTGGACTTCTGCTTCATGTGAGAGAATCTAGACTCCTGAAGGCCAAGCGCATTTTGAAAGCACAGCTGGAGTCTTTCTTTGTTTGCCTGAGCTGATAAGATTTCCTCAAACTTCATCTGATTTTGAATTCTGTAGTAATTCTTTCGGTGTTGTCATAGCGTTTTGGAGTAGCCTAGAAAACAGTCTGAATTGCAAAGGTTGATGTGAGCTGCTTCAGACCTGGGCAGCACAGCTGCAAAGAAAGCATCTCTAGAGCTAGTCTCCTAATGCTGTTGTTAAGATGCTTTAGGTGAAAAGTAGTAGTATTGTAATCTTGTTTAAAAAAAAAAAAAAAAAAAGTTGCTTCATTTTTAAGTGCTGTAATCTTTTATTTTAACAAGGAAGTTTATTTAGAAGAATTAGTTTGTCCATCATGTCCAGAAAAGTATTGAATTACAATATGATTTATGACTTTTATTGTGTCATGATAGAGTTTGGGGATAATATTTATTTTTGTTCTGTTCCATTGTTTACAGGGAAGAACTGCTTTGCACTGGCTCTGTAACAATGGCTACCTTGATGCTATAAAATTGCTGCTTGGTTTTGATGCTTTCCCTAATCATATGGAGAACAGCGAGGAGAGGTATTGCTTGTCTCAATATATTATTTTGTAATTTAGCAAAAGCGCTACCTACAGATTTAAATGCTAAGTGTTCAGATAGTGGCAGAGAATTGTGATCTTGTATCTAAAAGGAATGCTGTAATCTTGGGCTTCAGTGTGAGCAGCTTTTCTGATGTGAAAAGTCTCTTCTTTAAGTAAGACACTGCAACCTCAACTATTTATACTTTTGAACTTTGAATTTACAGAGATTTCTACAAGTATTTACTCATTCTGGTCTTGCTTGAAATATTAAAGATATTTTTCATTTATATGAAGTTGACAGTGGACAAAAGACGAAAAGGCATTTCTACTGCTATTGGAAGAGACTGGAATTTTTCTCTTCTATTTGGTAGGAATACGGTGAGAAGAAAGGAAATGGGAAAAATGTAATATTATATTTTAAAATACTGATTACAAATTACCTGGTGGTTAATTGTATTCTAAAGGCCTAGTTTTAAAAAACATCCTCCTATAGTCATAGAGAGAGAGTACATTTGCATCTCTTTTCTTTGTCTTTCATTGACATATAAATAATAGTTTTTTAAAAGTGACTTGGGTTGTAGAGTTCGAATTAGTCACCTGACCGTGAAGATAATTACTATTAGCAGAAATTTATAATGCCTTTTTTAGAGTAGATGACCTCCTCATAATTATAAATAAAATTATGATCAGTATGCCATATAAATTTGAATATTTCAACATTTTAAATAACTTAAGGACTTCAAAACCCCATATTTTTGTGCTAAATTTGAGACTACTATACTTATTCCAGTTTTTAATTGCTCTCTTTCCCCATCATTTCTCTTTTGTTCTCTAAACCAGTTGGATCTCTTCCTTTTCTGTTCTTATTTTTTATTGAAAAGCACAAATGAAACTATAAGTACTTCCTAATTAAGTAGTGCCAATGCTCTCTTCAGTAATTTTTGATAGAAAATTAAATAAACAGTTGTGATTAAATTACTTTTAATAAGTAAGATTAAAAGACTATTTTGCCAGAAAGGAGACTGCTATTTTCCTTTGTAGAAATGTACTAATGATACTCAGGTATCAGGAAAAGACCTGAGCTGTGGTTTTGCTGTAGTCATTCAGTTAGTATCTATTTTTGTTTCCCTTCTGGCATTAATATATGTTCTTATGTATAACTTAGATTACTCAAAATATAACTAGCGTTATTCCAAATGTCAGCCCTTAAGCACTAGTCCATGTGCGGAACAGAATAGATCCCCAGTATTTCTAGATGAATCAGTCTTTAAATATAATCCTCCTGAGTGTATATATATATATATATAGTATATAAAAATTGCATAATTGCCTCAATAAACACCTATAAAACCTTTTTTTATTGTTAAGCTATCGGAAGTTTGGAACGTGGAAAAATCAAGTTGGGTGTTGTGAGGGAGTAAAAATAACCTCATGGAAATGGTTCATCTGTAATTGGATGAAATTGTTTTTTAATCAATAACAATTTCACCAAATAGTAATTTTTTTTCCAATATATCTATAGAAAGAAGCTTCCCTTCTTCCCTTCACTTTCAATATGAGTTACCAGTTCAAAATTCAAACACAGTGGTTAAAACTAAATAGGTTTGGGAAAAAATGGAGCCAAGATTGCAGGTGGGATTTTAAGCTGCCCACTTGCTTGCAGACATGTGATGAAGTGCTAGTTGGGAGGGTGGTAGGTTTGTCATTCTTCGTTAATTCATTTTGTAATCCAACTTGATGTCCTGGGTGCATCTCCTGATGCCAGGCTAGCTGCTGCTTGACCAACTTCATGCTAAATTACATATAACAGCTGATGGCCGATGTCTTCTTTGTGTGAAACCAGCTTGATTTAAAAGCTATCTGCTTTAGAGGTAACCAGTGGAAGAGAAAATTTATAACAGGCTTTAACTGACACAACAGAGTAATGGCTGGCTGTGAGGAGTGTATGTGAGCAGCCTTGAATGGGCAGTGTCCAGTTGAACAAACCCCTATTCAGATTTGATTTGAGTGATTCTTTACTTTCAAATGCAGCTCTAATGGAATTAGAGAATTCACGTTTAAAAAAATGGGTTTTCATGACTGCGATCCGTAATAGAATACGTTCTCTTGGTACATACATGCTAGTAGCATAAAGTTTACTTTAGTATCTTTTGTACCTGTTAATTAAAATACTCAAAACTACGTATACTTAAAAATTTTTTCTGAAGTGGGGTCCCTTCTGGAGCTCCCATTCCTGGGTTATCAAAAGTCTGTATCTCTTTAAATGCTATCAGCAACACACCTTGACATACAAATTTTCATGTTATGTCATGGTCTTTATTCCTGAAGACACTTCAGTTCAGATACTGTTAATCCTTCCATCAAATCATTGCTGCGTGGCAAGTCCAATTGTGCTTTCTGTCTGTTTTTCTTTGCTTACCAGCACTGCGTCCTAGCAGGTTACCATCAAGAAGAGCCCTAATTTTCACAGTCGCATGCATTGACACTTGCTGTTTGATAGTCTTGTATTTTATGGTCTCGATTATGGTTTGTGACTGATAATTTTCAGTCACTAAATGTCTTTGCCTAGTGTTTCGGTGTTGGTGAGGGAGGTATGTACATTTGGCTCCTGTGTTGACAATGGGAAATTTGGGAATTATTTTTAAAAGGGCTTAGGCATCTTTGACACCATTAAAAAACAGAGCTATTTAATATTTTTAGCACCTGTGTCCATTTGAAAACAGATGTAAGTCTTCCTAGTGCTTTAAAAAGAATATTATCCCTTTATGCAAGTGTAATCCTGCTGCTTGGTCAGTCATACTGTCTTCAGTCACTGTGATAGAAGCTAAGCCAGTTTAGACAGTAAATCTCTAGAACTGAAATTCATATGGAAATATCACAAAAAATGTTTTAACTTGCTTTTTATTTAGATTATTTTTCTACGTGAGAACCTCAGTAGCACCTTTTGAAGACTACTTGCCTAAAGCAATTAATTTTATGGGTAGGGCTTTGGAAGATTTTGATCCAACACTTCACGTAGTCTGCCCTCCCCTCCTTACATTAGGAGACTAAATAAGCCTTAAACATAGTCATGGTGTGTAGAATGAGTAAGACAGGAAAATAATATTAAAGAATTAGTAAAACAGCACACCAAAACCAGTGTTTAATCTGTCTTCATAGTAGAAGTTGCCATACTGTGAAATGAGGATGAAGTAAGTGCACATTATTGTTAGAATTCTGGTTCAATGATAATTGTTGTGGGTTTCTTTTGTTTTATTCTTTTTAGATATACTCCACTTGATTATGCTTTGCTTGGTGAACACCATGAAGTGATTCAGTTCATGTTAGAACATGGGGCTCTGTCTATAGCTGCCATACAGGACATTGCTGCTTTCAAAATTCAGGCTGTCTACAAAGGATACAAAGTTAGAAAGGCTTTTCAAGAGAGGAAGAATCTTTTAATGAAACATGAACAGCTGAGAAAAGATGCTGCTGCCAAGTAAGTCTAAGACTTGAAATCTACTCCAGCAAATAGAAATTTGTCATAAGTTTGTATATATTAGTGTATGATTTTATCTGTTACTCGTCTTCATTTATTGTTCCTCATAGTAAAATTCATGAAACTGTAGGAAGCATATAATGGATTTTTTTCCATACACCTATAGATGGAAATTATTTTCCAGATAATCCCAAATTAAATAACAAGCTTTATATAATATGCAAGAACAAGGCAAAACACCAAAATCTGAGAAATGAGCATGTTAAGCATCCATGAACCTTTGCCTTACACTCTGTATGATGATAAAAAGTCTTGGAAAACATCTGTCACTCTAAGGTAATGGAAATAATTATTGACCTATCAATTCTGATATCAGTTTTGAAAATAATAAGTATATGAAGGAAAAATAAAACAGGAAAAGCCTGGTTTAATAAGGCTTAACTTAGTGTTTCACAGAGGAGGTTGTGCTTTTCTAGTAAACTGGATTTTATTTGCAACTTCTGTCTTGACAGTATCATTCTCTGCATTTTTATCTTCTGCTCTTGAATTTAGAGTTACAATGAAGTCTTTATATTAGATTATAGATAACTAATATATGCAGTACAAATAGTTATTTGTAAGATGTGTAGTTTCTCCGTGAGTTTCTACCCTACTTAAATTAGGTAATCGTAGCAAAGAGTCAAAATTCTAAAATCAGAAGGTACATAAATGATCATCAAAATACTCCGCTTGCTTGGGCTTTATCCTTAAGATTCATAATATGAAGAACAAATTAGCACATGGTTTCTCTTGAAGAAATCTGATTCTGGAATTAAAAACCGTAACAGTCTAAAAAGATTTCTGCATTATTTTGTAGTATTATTTGTGTAAAGAAAGATGGTATGAATAAACACACAACACAATTATTGCACCTAGAGGTATTTTTGTTGCATCCATGTACCACAGACAAAGTCAGCTGCGCTCTGCTTTATTTCAAATTCAGCACTTTGATATTCTACATAACTGGCCAGTCTAACCTTCACTGGGTTTGAATGCTACTACTATACTGGTTAATAATCATTAATACTCAGTAAGAACCAAAGCTAGAAATATCAGATAACTAATCTCTCGCTCACATGTTTAGATCCTAAAGTTGTAACTTGCAACCCTCCTACTATTTGCCTTTTCTGCTGAAGTCAGTAGAAGTCAAACCCATGCATGGAGAAGCTGCCTTTGAAAAGAACCCAAATATCTTTATGTATTTCTTTTTAATTTGGAGAACTCTGCTTCTTGCTTTGTGGTCACAACTGACTTTACTAAATGAGGTAATTTTATTCTTTGTGATGACAGTAATTTTTAGAAGAATCTGTGATACCCCATCTAGGAGGTTAAATAAAATAGGATTGCTTCATGGAAATTTGGGGGTGTTTTATAATTGTTTTCCTTTGTGAGTTTCTGATGTACTTTCTGAGACTTACTAAGCTGTTGTTGATTTGTTTGAAAACAATAGAAACAAAGTCTGTGTACCAAATACCATAAAAAAGAGAATTAAAATACAATTTGATTATACAAGCAAATCAAGTTGTCACATAACAAATTTTATTTAATTGCAATGTTATGATCTGTAATAAACTGGAGGGGACATTATGTTGTCATCATTTTGCATACCCATCTGTGCATTCCACAGCTAAAATTGGCCATGGTATTGCTACATACAAAAAATTAATATCCCTACTGATGTTTAAAAATCTGCTGTCCAGATAAAAGTAGACATTATGCAGGAATCCCAAATGATGGTGAACTAGAATGAACACCCCCCCCAACTATTTCAGTGTATATATTTAAAACTTGCTTCCTAATATATTATTTTAGAGTCTCACTAATATAAATCATTCCTAAGTCTGCATGTTTTTAATTAATCTGTTCTTTTTTTTTTTTTTTTTTTTTTTCCTAAACAAAAAGTTAACTAACATCTCATACCTGTATTATTTTCTGGTAAAGTTACACTCTCTGTATTTAATGCCTGCAAAATATTTCTGCATGAACATATTCTCCCACGTTGAAGAAACCTATATCAAAGAAATAGCAATTTATAAAATGAAGATTGATGCAGACCAAAACCAACATGCATACTATTCCGTCATTGAGCAAAGAGATGTAATGGGAGACTAATTTCGGTAAGCAGGGAAGCCATGACAGCTCAAATGCAAAAAAGCAGTATACAGGAGGTGGAAGCAGGGACAGGCTGCAAAGGAAGAGTGTAAAAACATTGCTTGGGCATATAGGGATGGTGTCAGAAAAGCCAAAACTGAAATGGAGTTGAGTCTTTCAAGGGATGTCACAGGTAATGAGGTGAGCTTCTGCCTCTATGTTAATAGTAAAAGGCTGAGCAAGGAAAATGGGGACCCGTTGCTGAATGGTGCGATTTATTTAGTGACAGCAGGTACAGCTGTGGCAGAAGTACTCAATGCCTTCTTTTCCTCAGACTTCACCAAGAAGGTTTGCTAGGCCTCTGTGCTTAGAGAAGTGGTTCAAGGTGGAGAACTGCCAGCTGTGAACGAAGATTAAGTCAGGGATCACTTGAGAGAACTCAGCCCAGACAAGTCCATTGGGACCGGATGGGTTGCATCTGAGGGTGCTGAGAGGACTGACTGATACCTTTAAAAGGCCACTTTCCAACATCTTTGAAAGACCACAGGGGCCAGGGAAGGTCCTTAATGGATGGAGGAAAGCAAATGTTACATCCACCTTCAAAAGGGCCAAAAGAACAATCTGAGGAGCTGCAGACCGGTTGGCCTCCCTTTGGTCCCTAAGAGACTTATAACTGACATAAGTTGAAATGAGAGATTTTGACTGTAAATAAAGAGAAAATTTTTCACTCTTGGGACAATTGAGCAGTGGAACAGGTTGCTCAAAGAGGTTGTACAGCCTCTATCCTTAGAGGTTTTCAAGACCCAACTGGATAAAACCCTGAGCAACCTGGTCTGACCCCATAGTTGGCCCTTTTTTGAGCAGAACGTTGGCCTTGATGACTTCCTGAGATTCTTTCCAATATGTGTTACCTTATGATCCTATGATCTTTTGGAAGAGGGCAGTGTTGATGGGGATGTATGAGCATTAAATGTTTTAACAGCCATAAATGTGTCAATATAGTAGGTGGTCTTCTTTGGTGGGAGTGAAGGTTATTAATAAGTGGGATGGAGAACCTGGCAAGAGGGAAGCATTGTTTTAGGAGAGTAGCACAGAGGCAGTCTGGGAAGGAGGCATTTAAAAAACAGTCAAAACACATACAGGTAAAATGGTGGACTGTTAAAACTTTGTAAAGAGGCTTTTGTTTTACTTTTTACAAAGCCAGGTCTTTAGGAAAATAATATCTAAGGGTTTAAAGCATATTCAGAGAAAACTGATGTCCAATGTGTTGGGTTTTGAAAGGTCTGCAGAACTCATTCATCACATGTTCACTCTGAATTTCTCAGAAGTTCCTGAATCAATACTTCTGGTTTTACTGTCTTCTTGATTTCATTCTGACCAGTTGGAGGAAGCTAACTGAGATTGTGGCTGTGAAAGGGAAGTAGATGAAAGTAAGTTACTCATGATATCTAGAAAGAGAAGCACATCAAGAAAATAAACCAGCGCAATTAAAGAGCCTTCAGTAGATTTAGAAAAATGTTCTAGTGGAAAGAGAGTACAAGCAGATTATGAGGTTCTTCAAAAAAATGGTAGGAAGGCCTGCATGCTGAGAAAAGATAGGGGGTGTAGCAAGAGAGAAAATAACGAGCTCTTCACCAACCTGAAAAGGGAACGCACATAGTGGAATTTTGGCGCAATTACTAAAATTAAGGGAAATAATAACATACGATGATAAAATTAAAAAGGCTGAGGCACAAAAAAAGGACAACTAGCAAGGAATGTGAGGTATCACAATAAATCATTGTAAACAATACACATTGTAAAAGGAAAAGCAAAGAGTTGGTCCACAGGTGGTGCTAAGGCGGCTGAAGTGTTCTGTGTCTGGTTTTGCTTTAGTCTTCCTTAAATGCTGAATGATGCCCATTAGCAAATGGAATTCACACTAGTAACGAAGGGCAGCGATGCAGTCTGAAATACTGAAACAACAGTTTAGAGACTGATTGGATGAGTGAGATGCTTTCAGATCAGCTTAGCCTGACAAAGTTCATCCTGAGGTGTTTAGAAAACTGAGTCATACAACCTTAAAATGGTTACCCTTAAAACCTTTAGGAGGACCAGTGGGATTGGAAAATTCACAAAATGAGCAAAGTGTCTGCATTCTCAGAGGGGAAGAGGAGGAATCAGGAGATCTATAAACTTCAGTCCCAAGAACCACAGAATTGTTGAGATTGGAAAGGACCTTGAGATCATCTCGTCCATCCCTGCCCCTGCTCAGAGTCAGCTAGAGCATCTTGCCCAGGACCATGTCCAGTCAGGTTTTTTAATATCTGTGCAAATGGAGACTCCACAACCCGTTTGGGCAACCTGTTTCAGTGTTTGACCATCCTCACAGTAAAAAAAAAAAGCATTTCCTTGCATACAGATAGAATTTCATGAGCTTTAATTTATGCTTATCGCCTGCTGTTGTGTCAGTGGGTGCTACTGAGAACAGTCTGGCTCCATCTTCTTCATTCCCTCCCATCAGGTATTTATAGACATAGGTGAGATTCCCTCCTGAGCCTTCTCTTGTCCAGACTGAATAGTCCCAGCTCTCTCAGCCTCTTCTCATATGATAGATGCTTCAGTCTCTTAAGCTTCTCCATGGCCTTTCACTGGATTCATTACAGTAACTCCATAGCTTTCTTATCCTGGAATGAGTAATTAAACTTCTGTGTTACCTGGAACATAACAAAGCAAGAAGTAACGGCTGGTCTGAATTTGCTAAGAACAAGTTATATGTCCGTATGAGCGCAGGCTGAGAGAGTTGGGGTTGTTCAGCCTGGAGAAGAGGAGGCTCCGGGGAGACCTGACAGCGGCCTGCCAGTGCTTAAAGGGGGCCTGCAGGAACAGTGGGGACTCTTTATCAGGGAGTGTAATGATAGGACAAGGGGTAACAGGTTTAAACTGAAAGAGAGTAGATTTAGATTAGATGATAGGAAGAAATTCTTCCCTGTGCGGGTGGTGAGGCCCTGGCCCAGGGTGCCCAGAGCAGCTGTGGGTGCCCCCTCCCTGGAAGGGTTCAGGGCCAGGTTGGACGGGGCTGGGAGCCCCCTGGGCTGGGGGAAGGGGGCCCTGCCCGGGGCAGGAGGGGTGGGACTGGGTGATCTTTAAGGTCCTTTCCAAACCCAAACAATTCTATGATTCTGTGATACCAAACCAACTCAATTTTCTTTTGTGACAGTATAACAAGTTTTGTGGCCATGGAGAAACAGTAGCTGTCATTCAGACTTGCCTGAAGTTTTAATACTTTCTCATGTGCCATTCTCATTAGCAACGCAGGTCAATGTAGCATGAATTAAACTACTATTAGATGGGTGAAAACTGCTTGGAAGAACATATACGAAGAGTAGTTCTTAATGGTTCAACTTTAACCTGGAAGTGTATATTTCACATAAATCCATCCCGAATCTGATACTATGCAGTATTTTCATTTACAAAGTAAAATGTTAAATTTTAAAATAGCACCAAGATGCGGAAGACTGTAAGCACGTTTAAGATTAAATTAGAAATCAGAATTGTGTTAAGATATATATGAGAAATGACGGAGTTAAAAAATAGGTAGCTCTGTGCATTTGGGAAGACCAATGAACAGAGAATCAACTGGACAGAAATTAACTGTCATCTTAGCATTTTTATTAAGGACTATGTGTTAAAAGGTTGTAGTAGATCAGAAGCTGAGAATATCGTGAGTCAACAGTGTCATGCTTTTAAAAACAAACTTCATGCTAGATTGTATAGCAAGAGGTGACAGTTTATACAGTGTGAAATATAACTCCTCTTGGTCCAGATAAAGCTTTAGCAGTAAAAGGAGCATACTTGTTACAATTTTTAAATTTTTTAATTTAAAAAAATATATTAACTTTTTTTAATCTGTTATGATTTCTAAGGTAACTTTTTTTTTGCAAGGATAATTTTAAAAATGCTTTCCAGGCACATGGGCATGTTCTAAATTTAAAACGTCCTCCATGGAGTAGATACAAAAAGCAAAGTGTTCTTAACAGAATAGAAAAGGATTGGATTCATTTTATTAGGATCAAAGATTCAAAGCATCTTCATGTCTTCACAAATGCATAAGGCTGAAACTGTTCCTATCCATCTGCTAAAGGCTCAATTTCCATTCTCTCACTTCTGTAATGAAATACAGATTTATGACCATTCAGGGCAAAAGTCTGTTGCAATTATATGGAAATGGTTGTCCTGCCAGCTGTTATCACTATTGAGCTGTAGTTGTCTAACTTTAGAGCCCAAATTTGGATCCTGCTGAGTCACCAGAACCTCCTGAGAATGGCTGAGAGCCCTTAAGTTAAGAACTTGTCTACTTCCTTTACTTGTTCATGAAACCTAGTCTGTCAGCTTAAACAGCAGTAAAACTTAGGAGTTTTTATTTCTAAGATATCCTTCCTTGTAATACAAACTGAATTTCTGACTAAATAAAGAAAAACACAAGGGGAGGTTCATAAGTATTCAGGAATCTGTTCATCAACTAAGCCCTACTGTGACAGTTAGGATGATGTCTATGAATAGGAAGCTTTGAAATCCCTTCCATTTATTAATTAGTTGAATCTGAAAAATTAGCACACAAGACCTTTTTAAAAACATCCCGTTTTACTTCTTCTCAGTTTCTGGTCCTGTGTCATTTCAATAACTTTACAATTGGTATGTTGCTGAAGTTAATGTTTTAAGTCAATCTGCTCATCCAAAGAGTGCAGGCCGCTCTGGCTTAATTGTATATCACACAACCCCTCTCACGCGTTCTTTTTTAATACCTTGAATGGAGGATACTGGTAACAGGCTGCTTGATTCTTGTGAAGAAAAGGAAATGACTATTCTGTGAATAGTAAGATCTGATGTATCAGCTTAAACGGCAGAGTACTGGTGGTGCGATCCATACCGTACACCACGCAGACGTCCCCACATAGTCTGGTTGTGGAATGCCGATATTATTTGAAACTAGCCACTTTTTTTTTTTTTTTTTTTTCCATGCCAGAGGGAATACTGAACCTCTGGCTGCCAGGAGTGTATTTTTTAGATCAATTAGCAGCTTTTCAGGTACAAAGTTCAATCAGCTGCTTCTGCAGAGCGTACTTAATAAAAGAGTACTGACAGATAAAGTTAAGGCTTCTCCCTGGCAGCTCACACCGAAATGACATATACTGGCATTGATACGACTCACAGGAACTGAGGAAGGCATGCTGCATAACTAACCTGTCATATGCTGTGCTGTGAGCTAGTGTGTCAACAGTCTGCAAACTATGTTGTAGCATTGGAAGCAAGCTAAAATATCAGGCAGCTACATGATACGACATTTACCACCTGTCCATTCCAACAGGAAAAGTGTCACTTCATCTTACAACCAGTGCTTAATTTATAAAAACAAATTCAATGGTATGTAGGTATGTAACGTTTGCTATGTGCTATTGGGTTTATTCTGCTCGATAAGAAAAAGAATTTAAAAGCTGAAGTGCAATGATATCCCACTGTATTTCAAAATAGGCTGCAAAGCTTTATTCAACAGATGCGCCTTTCCCAACCTTGTCCAAAATTCTTTTATATCTATGCTATTTAAAAGATGCATGACTTCTTTCATTTTTGAAAACCAAATGTCATAATTGTAATAGCATACTATGTGCATACAAGTTTTTAATTCACATCTTATATTTTCAGTATTTATCATTTCTATAATGTATAATATGTTTATGTAAAAGAATTTAATTATCTACCAATGATAAATATATAGCAGCAAGTTAGTACCAGTAGCCAGCTTGAAGTTGGTTTATAATTGTCTATATTAATTATGATACAGGTAAGTATGAAAAACCATTTTCAAAGAGATGACGTCTTTAATAAAAGCTTTCTGAATTTCAAATGAAATACATTGCATTACTACTTATATTAAAGCATTGTTCATTACTAATTAAAATAGTCATTAGTGTCATATTTCTTGTCTTCTGGGACCCAAATCTTGCTTTTAATTTTTGTATATTTATAAAAAAACTAAATTTCATAGTTTTCCATAAGGTAGTGTTTTAAAATCAGTTTAAACCACTGTAAACTGGATGAGTAGCTGGCTGATAAGTAATTGTTCTTCACTAGGCTATAACTGCAATTCAGTTGTTGTTTTAGATCAAGGTAAGACACTTCGATACGGTAGGTGTCCCTTTCTCAAAAAAAAAGATGTTATAGTCAGGATTTTATTGTGGCAGTGTCAGGTTTCTAGAGAAGAACGTGTTCAAGTTAGATACAAGCTCCCAAGATTTTGTCTTTGTAATTTCTATGGTATTGGCTATAATTACAGGAAACGTGAAGAGGAAAGTAAGAGAAAAGAAGCCAAGCTACAGAAAGGGATGCAGAACGTGGAGCAAAATCGGTTTCGAGTACAGCAGAATCCTGCAAACCGAGAGAAGACTGCCAGCATCTCACAGTTACCTAATAAAACAGTCGATATACAGAATAAGAGACCTCTGCCCCTTAATGCTTCACAAATTCAACCAGGGAGAAACAGTAGAGGTTCACCTAAAGCTTGTCACAACAAAGGGACACCAAAGGAGAGTTGCCTGTCATCAGAGCCTCAGCGCGAAGGTCATAAAAGCAGGCAAGGTTTGTAATCTTTTTAAATTGTCCTGATTATCCTTTTTGTCCGTGTTGGGGGGTGTTTTATATGTAGGACCTGGTTTACTCTTTCTGTCATTTCTTGTTCTCTTATTATTTAAGCAATTCATATAGGAAAGAGTTAGATGCAGATTCTATTACTTGCATGTGTTCTGTCAGCTGAAATAGTCAAAAATACCAGTATCTACAGTGTCTGTAAAAATACCTAAAATATGTGAGAACAGGTTGTTGGTAGTTGTTCTATTCCTTGCACTATTTGGAGAAAATAAGATTAAGGATAGTTGGCATATCTATGGGATTCTTGGAGAATGCTAATGGAGAAATTGTAACTGTTTTTAAGCAATGTTAAAATGAGAGTAATGTTGTTCTAAGTGACATCTCTAGCATACAGAGGGAGATGTTCAGCCAGCTTCATTCTCAGCGACAGGGTTCTCCAATGATCATCAATTTATCATCATTTCTTGACCACTCCTATCTTAGTTTTTGCAGGATAAACAGTCTAATAACATTTCAATCAGTTCTGACTTCAGCTAGTTATAGGAGCCCATAGCTTGATTCTTTCAAACCTGGTCATGTTAAAGCATCTTTGTTTTCATTAGAAGCAAAAATTGGATAAGTAATTTATTTAAGGTAAATTGCAAAAACTCCTTCTCAGACGTGAAATCATTGCTAATTCCTCTGGAAATTCTGCTACTCAGAATATTATAATAATCCAAAGGGAAAGAGAGTCAAAGAGCTGTTCCTACTGAATCATTTTACCTACATTTCTTTAGCTGTTACATGGGAATGTGTCGGTGACCAGAATACTTGACAGTATTGTCATAGTAAAAGCAGACATACATATCTTAGCCCAGTGTACAGTGTGATAACTAAGTAATGATAAGCAGAGGTGTTAAAAATTCTAGCAAGCTTTATCTGTATGTGTATTAACTTTATATTAATTAAAATGTTCAGATGCAAAGTAAAAACCAGTGGTTGCCAACTGAAAAATGGAGAGTTGTAACGAACATAGTGAGGAGAAGTTGATAAGTATTGAAAAAATGGAGCAGAGAAAGAAAGATTTGGGGAGGATTAGAGCAGTGAAGAGAGAAGGACAAAGAAATTATAAAGAAGAACAGCCTTTTCTTTTACTGACTCCTCTATCCATTCTTTGCCAAAATCTTCCATTGGTTATGCCAATGGAAACTGCATTGCATCACTCAGACTCCCACTGTTTCTTGGAACAAATAGAACGGTTTTGACTGAGAGAATGACCTAAGGAAGTAGGTAGTAGGTAGTCCATGGGAAGTGTGGACTGTAGGGTCACACTGACTACAGAGATCACAACTGAATTTGCCAGATTTTCCGCAGAGGATTCTAATATTGGTATTTATGTCTGAAAAACCACATAAATGTTCAGTTGTCTACACCACCCTTCACAGTAACTTAGGGAATTCAAACCAGCAACAAATGCTAGCAGCATGTAGCTCAGACTTTTGATTGAAGGCATCCCTGAAGTTGGAGACTTTCTGAAGTGACTATGCCAGAATAATTTTTCCATGCTCATGGTTTTAAAATCATATGGGCTATTTCCTGGAGATTTTTTTGGTTTTCAGTATATCTTTACAAGCAGAAAAGCAAAAGATAGAATTTTAATTTTAAAGATAAAGTTCATTGCTATTGTGTATTATCTTTCTTCGCCGTGGGTGTTGAGTATGAAGAGAACAAAACTCTTTACTCAAGGTTCTTCTGAAAATACATGATAACATGCCTAATTATTCTACAGCGAGACCAGTTTACCATCACAGATCATAAAGTAAGCCCCCTCTTGCCCAATCCAAAAAGCCTGTGTTTGAAATAAAACGCTATACCATTTTAACATAAGCATTCTATTTTTGTTACTGGAATGATGCCAGGAAGGTTGCCACAGTAAGGATCAAATTATGAAGTCCTTTAATCCGTTCTCATTAGGTATTTTAATCAATCTTCTTGTCACCAAAATTTAATGGACTGCATTGGATGTTTTATTGGAACTAAATATAAATTTAGATCCTGTGGGCTGGCACTTAGAAAGATTTTGAGCAATTGCAAATAGATATTTTGCATCTGCTAACAATATATGAAAATTGTGATTTAGTTGGTGGGTCTATTCTGATCTCCACTCAGAAATCCTCTTTCCTATTCATGTTATCTCATTGCCTTAATTATAGTAACAACATGTAAGTTCTTTCTTGTGCTCTGTACTTGTTGTTGCTTGGTCTTTCCATCTGAAAAAGTTTATTTCAACCTCAGAAAATGATCTAAAATACTTACATGATGTTTCTTTCCATTCCCCAGTCATCTTGTTATTCAGATTAGGATGTTTTGCACATTCCACTTTAATGATTTAAATGTGTTACAGTAAATGCATTCTACAGGCTGTACTTACAAGCTGGGTAGCAGGTTTTGCTGAGTTCAGGATGACAAGGCCATTTTAAAAGACTGTGTTCTTTTTCCTCACAGCTGTAAAAATTAACTTGTTGGGAGATCAAAATAGTGTTGGGAGAGTGCTGGAAATTTAATACGTTTGAACTGACTGTCAGCCCTATACCATCTCTGTTGATGGCACTGGCAGTTTTGTATTTGGCATCATTAAGAGTGGGATTATGCCCACAGAAATCTTGTCTTCAAAAGGCACATTTTTTAAACAGTCTATTCCCCTGGTGTGATGAGAGAAAGAGAGAGAGAACTTCCTTCTTCATTCTGGGAGGTTAAAATAATAGATTAAAAGATAATTCAATTAATAATATATTAAAATAGATAAAAACAATAGATTTTTTTTTCCCTATCCCAGATCATACAGGGCCAGTTACCCACATGACAATCATGTATAAATTAGAGTAACCTCTCTGCCCATATGGACCTGTCACCATGATAAATCTTCTCTGTTGGAGACATCAGTGATGTTAATCCTGAGTTTCTTCTGTATAATCTGTTAATCTGCCATACTCTGTTATCCAGTCAAGGGAGTATCCTGTAAAAGCGCTACAGTGATGGAAAATGTAGCATGGTTTTACCAGGTTTTGGCTTATCCAGAAGATTTTCTGTGATTCCATTATATCAAAGGTGTCTTTCTCACCTACCCTTTAACACCCTGTCTGTTTGTTACATTTCATCCTGTCTGGTCTATTTTCTCATTCCCCTCTTAGCTTCCTAACAAAGTAGAAGGTGGATGGTAGATGGAGATTCTCAGTTTCGCACTCCAGTCTGGCTTCCTAGTCATCCTCACAAGAGTGTTTAGAAGCAGTTACAACACAGGATTTATTTTCCCACCCTAGGCTTGGAAAAGAAATCTTGCAGCAAGGCAAAAACGGGCGGGACTTCACAGTTTGATTTAGGATGTCCAGGAAAGTACTGAGAAGCCAAGTGCTCTGGGTTTCCTGGGTCAGTGGGTTACCCTGTCAGTCATCGTGTGCCAGGTGGCTAGAGCAGACGTTTAGCAAGTAAGCTTAAAACTGGGAAGGTCTCTTATGGTGTCTTCACTGGAAGAAGCTGGTCTGTTCATGGGGCTGCATTCCTGCACCATGTGGTGAGCTTGTGTCTTTGAAGGAAACAAGTCTTTTCAGGTAGGTGAAGAAATAGTTTCTCCCTGTGACTTTTTTTTTAGGCATCTAACTCAAATGTAATGTGCAAAAGAAAAAATACTTGTAGAATGGTAAGGAAATGAAGAAGTTTGGGACTGTACTCTTACAAGCAGTCATGTCCTCTTCTGATTCTTCCTACTTATACATTTTTTTCCATTTAAGTAAATCCTAGTATGCTTCAAAGGTAACTGAGCAAAAAAAAAAATAGAGACATAAACTATGTTTTGCTGGATCAGAAACTGAACGTTGGTTTCCATTTCTCTGTCTAAAGATTCATTGAGGAAACACATCAAAAGTAAGTCAAGTTGTGTCCATTTCCATTGTGACAAAGCAAAAGAGGGAACAAAAGTTGAAGTGAAACATGAGGTTGCAGCTGCTACGGAACTGCATGGAGAAAAGCACAAGGAGCACACTGCTGAGGCGATAGTTGCTTATGCTCGGAGGAGCAGAAGGCACACTTCTTCTGCTTGTAGGACTGCTAGTGGTGGGGAGAAATTAAGAGATCAAAGTCAGCCTTCATCTGGCAACAAGGACCGTTGTGAAGGAACAGCTGTGCTCTTCTGCAACGTCAGTTGTACCGGTGGAATTGCGAGAAACTCAAAGCAGTGTGAAGCTTCTTCCAAAGGCAAAAGGCATCAGCAGAAATGCAGAAATAAAGAGGTAAATGATGAGCGATGTTCACCAGCTGGCTCTAGTAGACCAGGAAGTGCCAAAACGGTATTTGTAAACACCAGGAATGACAGTGTGCATGCTGTAGAACAAACTAACAAAGTGGGAAATAACAAATTAGGAAAAAAGGCCTCCCCTTCATTGTCTGCTGAGGCAGAACCTACCGGAACTGTGCCAAGAAATCCAGCAGCGTGTTCTGCTCCTGATGACAGTTTGAACTTGGAAAAAACAGGCGTAATTGGATCCAGGAATGCAGATGATCAGTTATGTTCTGTCGCATGGCAAAGTACAAATATTGAACTAATCCCTTTAGAGATTCGAATGCAGATAATAGAAAAAGAAAGAAAAAGAAAAGAGCTGTTCCGGAAGAAGAACTATGCTGCTACAGTTATACAGAGGACTTGGAGAAGGTAAGACTGCTGTTTTAGTAGCTAGAAAAGAGTGAGATACAAGTGGATGTAAATTAAATTAGGCTTGTTGGCAATGTGCTTTATTTGGTCCTTTTGCTTACAACATTCCAGTGCTAAATAAGGAATTTAATAATCTTTCACCAAACAAGTGGGAGTGGGTTCCAGTCGCCTAGAATTACATTAGTAAGTTCATAAAAAGTGCAAGGTAAGTGATGACTTTTAATGATTGGAGAAGTTATTAAACTTATATTTCAAGCACTGATATTTCTTTGGAGTGCCGATCAGGATTTTCCTGAGCCTAGAGTTCACTGCTGTTCCGCTCATTAGCAAACTTGCACATGTGAGGATACAGGGGTTTTCCTGAAAAGGTGGTGAAGTCCTTTGTGCTAGTCCCCGGGGAACCTGCAAGTTTCCTGCAACGGCAGAAGCAGGTCCTAATGACCAACTGCCTGCAGAGCAAGAGCTGAAGGGCAGACACACACACGCACACTCCCCCCTTCTTCTGGGTCATGCTGGAAGCTTTGGCTCCCTCGCAGAGGAATTCAGAGGGGCTGTTTCTACCCGCTCGTGTGCCAGCAGCCAAGTACTCGCTGCCTTCTCAACCCACTCGGCCTCAGGGGGGGAGCAGGCAGCAGGTAGAGCATCAGGGTCTGCTCTCTTTGTCCCGGCATCCAGCCGCAGGAGGCAGCCAGCCTGGGCTGTTCAGCCGCTCCAGAAACGTCCTCTGGGCCTCATCAAGCGAGGCCCGGACCAGAAGTTAAGCGACAACAGTTCTGAATGCTTATTGTACAAGCCTGCTGGTCTGACAGGAAACGATCTTCTTGCCAAGTACCACGTAGTTCTGAAAAGCTAAAGAAGAGGCGTGCGGTTGCGCTGCCTGCTTTCAGTGGTGCTTCCAGGCTTACAAAATCCCTTGTTTCTCCCTTTGCAAGGTGGAGCGTTACCTGTGTTCCCTATTGTATGAAACACCAGGTTGCTAAGAGACAAGTATTACTAGCCCCTTGGTTGTGGAGTTCTGAGAAGTGGTATTTCTCCCGTTGCTTTTTTTACAGTTAACTTAGGAAGTCTGAAGAAGTCTTGTCTTTCTCCGGCAGAGCTGACGCTGCCCGTTACTAGGGGAGGGGCACCAGACCAGGCGCCCCATGGTCCGCACCGGCAGTCCGTTTGTTCCTAAGCTGAAATGTGGCCATTTAAACATTTGTGTTGGCTCAGCAAATAACTTCTGTTTGCTCCAGCTCTTTTACTGATCAGTCTAAATATTTCCAAGCATGAGGTTGGATTTGCAGCCCAGTAATATTCCAGGTTACCTCTTCACTGTTGGTGAACTATAAAAGCTACACTGGCTGTTTCGAGTACGTTCTATTCCAGTGAAAAGTTAAAATTTTGGAACAAGCTGGTTTTAATTCACTTTTGAGCCTCCTTTTTTTGGTGAAAATTCTGAGGTTTTTTGTACAGTACAAGCCTTTTCTGTACTTCTATCATCTTTGCTCTCTGTTTGCTATTTATACATCCAGGTCCAGGGTCCCCAGCGTAAGAAGGACATGGATCTGTTGGAGCAGGTCCAGAGGAGGGCCGCAAAAATGGTCCGAGGGCTGGAACACCTCTCCTGGGAAGACAGGCTGAGAAATTTGGGGTTGTTCAGCCTGGAGAAGTTTCTGGGGAGATCTTATTGTGGCCTTTCAATATATACAGGGGGCTTGGAAGAAAGATGGAGAAAGACTTTTTACCAAGGCCTGTAGTGACAGGGTAAGGGGGAACCATTTGAAACTGACAGAAGGTAGATTTAGATTGGACATAAGGAGGAAGTTTTTTACTGTGCGGGGGGTGAGGCCCTGGCCCAGGGTGCCCAGAGCAGCTGTGGCTGCCCCCTCCCTGGAAGGGTTCAGGGCCAGGTTGGACGGGGCTGGGAGCCCCCTGGGCTGGGGGAAGGGGGCCCTGCCCGGGGCGGGGGGGGCTGGAACTGGATGGTCTTTAAGGTCCCTTCCCACCCAACAGGTTCTGTGATTCCATGCCACACTCCTCATACCCACGCTGAACTGCAAAGCAGAGCAGCCACTTGTTCTCCCGGTGATCCACCACTTCTGCCAGCAGCTTGCCCTGCTGCTTCGGAGTGCTCTGTAAGCAGCTCAGTGCTGGCAACGTCCTCCTTGGACGCCTTTTCTAATTTAGATCCTGAATTCTTCTCTTGTGTTCAGAGCCTTTTACACACTGAAAGCTAAAGTCAGTTTGGAGAGTATATCCATAAGGGATACTGTTGCTTCTGAAGGCTATGCTGCTTTCACTTAACACTGAATTAAAATCCTTACAGAGGAGTAGGGCACGTGCTGTAGCTATCAGTGAAAGCATGAAGTTGTGTAGTGAGCACGTGTGCAAATTTCCTCGCAGGAACTGGGACCTAAAGCCTTGTGTCCAGCTAGCTAACCTGTGTAGAGATCTTTGCATTCTGTTTAAAGTTTTGACTTTCTATAGAGATTTTGGATAGATCTTTCTAAACTATCCACCTGCTGAAACAGGGATGGTGTGTTATCTCAGCAAGAAGGAAGTTGCATTTACTTACACCACTTTGGAAATTGTGGGGATTAAAGATTGCTTAAATGACATTTGTGTTATTTATTTTTACTAATTCTTTAAATATTTGTTCTGTTTGCAAAACTCAGGTTTTATAGAACACTAGCAAGGCTTATAAATTCTGCAAGACCGCAGGAGAGATCGGTTTGGCAGTTCCTCCCCCATCACTCGGTTACATCTGCGGACAGTTTACTGTCACTGGAGCTTTGATGGAGTTCATAAAGTTTGCAGCAATATCATAATGCTTTTATTTCAGTGAACGTTTTGGAAGTAGAACACAGAACAGTTCCCTGGGCAGCGAGGCTGTGGTGAGGGCACTACGCTGTTCCCAAGAGCCGTGCTTCCCTCCTGCATTCCCCCTCCCAGGCCCCCCAGCTGCTGCTGCCTTTCCTGCTTACGCTTCAGGCTCAAGCGTGAGATTTTTTGCCCGAGCGTTTTGAAACGCACGTGGATGATGAGAGCTGTGAAATAATGGGACCAGATATCCTCCTCAATTTCCCTGCTATTACCACAGCAATAGAGCTTATTTTTGAAAAAGGAGAGAGTTCTGCCTCCTCCTTTGAACGGGAGTATGTAATCTCAAAGAAAAAAGGTAGTTGGGGGTATCTTAGGATGTGGATCCCAAGTCAGATGGTGGCACCTGCCTGTCATGGTGAACATTTCCAGCCAGCTCGCGCTAGGCAGCTGTATGTGCTGACTACCAATATGTCAGTTACGCTGACACTGTCTCTGAAATACTTAATCTCATTAATCTCATTAATTTCCTATCCGCTGTACACCAAATTGTAGCTCTTAAGCCGGTAACTGCTGTGCTGCTGTGGGTCCCGCTCAGTCCCGCGTTTGTCTTTCGGGTCCAGGCTTGCCCTGCTAAATAGCGTATACTTGCAGACAGCAACAGAATTACACATTGTTAACGTGTAATTCTGCTTTAGAAACATCTAAAAGTACATGCTTGAGTTCTGGCATTTCTCTGAATTAGGATTTAGTACGTTTGTCTCGCTCCGTGGATTTTTATAGTTGCGATTTACTTATTGAAAGTTTATTGAGAGCTATTGTGAGCGACAACACAGCGGTCCTTGTCTACTTCAGTATATTAAACTTGCCTGTCTTGGGAAAATCTTTCAATTCCCACAGTCCACGAACTTTATGAATGTAGTCCTCAAAAGTGTATGTCAAGGTGTGCGGCTTGCCAAAGGTTAATTGCTTATCCTGCTCGTTGAGGCTTACAGATCCTGTGTCTGTCTCGCACTCTCATGGGGGACGCTGCGGCCTGGGCCCTTCTCCAGGGCCCACAGAGCGTCAGTAGAAGCTGGAAACAAGTTGGTTACTGCTGTTGTTGCTCCCCTGCTGGAGTCAAGCTACATTTTTTTATATATTATTGCTGTATGCCTACTTTGACCAGCAGTAGTTTTTAAGATTGGAGCTTCTGGAACAATGAAGCCGAACACCACGTGCCAGCTTTGTCATTCTGCACACACATTCCACATGTCTTTTACGCGCAGTAGCTTTGTGGACTTAAGCATTGGGAATTTTGTTAAGGCACCATGTCAGATTCACAGAGCGTCAGACTCAGTCCCATTCTTTGTATTTTTTCACCAGGCTCAGGACGACCTGTTACGGGAGAGCTGCATTAAAAAAACGTGCCCATGCTCTAAAGATAACTGCCTACATCTTCTCAGTGTCAGAGCCGCACAGTTGTTTTCTTGTTGCTAAAATCTCCCCGAAGTTCTCTACAAACATGAAATCACAGCTGGGTGCGAAGGTGGCGGGCCTGTGAATGGGTCATTTCATGTATCAGCAAAGGCTTCTGGCAGTAATTACCAAATTCCAAGAGAATAGCTTAGTATTCTTTTCTGCTCAAGTATAAAACAGTTCCCCAATTGTTTTTCCTGCAGCAGTATTCACGTAACCCATCTTTAGCTCAAGTTATGTTAGCGAGTCACTGTAATTGTGCCCCCCTTTACTTTCTCTTCCTCCCTTACCCTGCTGAACAGTTCTAAGTGATGTGTTATTTAACAAAACTGGATCTTTTTTTTTTTTTTTTCCTTCTGTATCTTAATAATGCTCCTGTTCTGAATTCATACAGGGGTTTGCGACTTGTAGGCACTGCAGACATTGATTGGTAAAATGCAGTTGCTCCCCACGTTTGTTACGTACTTTAATGAGCTGTGTAACAGTACGTGCCTGAATTCTGAAGCTCCACTAATTTAAGATTAAATACGTTTCTCTCACCCAGCAAATTTCACAGAGGTAATTTACTAAGCTTGTTGAAAGTTTAAAATTGTTGGGGCTGTAACTGAACATATCACCCCCCTCTGGCATTCTGTTGTGCTCTTATGTACTCATTTTCTGTACACGGCTGCTGTTCTGTTTGAATTGTATCGTGCACTGGCCTATAACGTATATTTCAACAATTTGTATCTGGTTATGTTGTCTTTTTTTTTAATCTAGAACTTGTTGCAGATGGAGCAACAGAACAAAATCGTCTCTTTCTCTCTCTTTCCTCATTCCCTTTACCAGAGCATCCAGTAGAAGCCTTTTTGAATGCCAGAGGGGATGATGGTCGGTGTGTTTTGGCCTGTTAACAAACACTTATAATTAATATTTTGCAAGTATTACTCAGTGTTCGTTCCTGACAGGTTTGTACTGGAAGATCCAGAGTTAATTGCTAGGCCAGCTAATCGACTTGTGAGCGTGAACTGCCAATATCTGATTGAAGGCTTCTATCGGATTGAAGGAAAAAAAACCCTCCGGACATCTCCTTGTCTGTGGTGCCGCTGGCCACCGCGGTGGGGAGAAGGAGGGATAAACCAGAGTTGCCCCTCGGAACAGGGCTGTGGTGAGGTTGGGTCGGGAGACAGGGGGAGCCTTTGAAGGGGAGGGAAAAGAAGGCAAGAAGAGATTGCTGAAAGCAAGGCGAGGGGAACATCTTCAGAGGAGGGGTGGAAAGCAGCTCAGTTTTCTGTAGAGGAAATGTGAAGCTGAACCCCTAAGAGGTAGATTTGGCTTCTCTCTTGCACTGATTGAGAATAGAGAGTGATAAGGCACACGAGAAAATCTGATGTTATTAAGCTGTGAATGTAGTGAAAATGAGAAACCAGTATTGATTATACTGTTGCAACAAATATTTATAGGTTTTGTCTTCTCCAGATTTTCTGTATATTATAAAGCAGTTGATAAGCTGATGTTGAAGTACTGTAACTTGCAGTGCCAGATCTTTATTAGCTGTGTAAATAATGGATGCATCCAGAATTGAACCCAGCTCCTACTTTTTCTTCTGAGCAAACATTTCTCATCCAAATGACTTAGCACATCAGTGGGAGTTCTGTTTTCCCAGTTACTCATGTAAGCCACCATGTGAACTGATGCGTGGAAAGCACTGAAGTTAAAACAGGTCACCTAAAACAAGCGCTCTTCTCTTTTCTGCTCTCTAGTTACCAGCTGAGACAGGAGTTGTTTCAGCTTCTCAGTGCTAAGCGGCGGTGCAAAGAAGATGAAGACAAATGGAGACAAGAGACAGCTGCCTTCTTCATTCAAGTTGCTTGGAAGAAACAGCTGAACCATAGCCCTCTGAAATCAGTTCCTTCGTATCAAAATCAGAAATCTATAAAAACCAGCTCGGCCATAAAAAGCAGCAAGCAGTCCATCCTTAAGCAGATCTATGGTAATTTCGTCTTCACTATGTTTTAAATAGCTACGCTCTTGTTTTTATACCAGAGCGCTCCCTGTATTTTGGATTCCTTTATGTACTTCTTACCTAATTGTTAGGGGTTTCAGCTATTTATAAAAATCAGTCGGAATCTCAGGTGTTCCAGGTAATTGTATTTCTCATTCCAGGTTGGAAAAAAAAAAAAACACCTTTGTTTTTTTTAAATGGCAGCTGCTAAAGCTGTTTGAGTCCCCACGGAGCGTTATTCCAGCACAGGTCTGGAGCAACCCAGGAGCTCTGTTGCCAGAGCTGCTCACACAGGGCAGTGTGGGAAGAGAACAGAGCAGTTAAACTGGGGATAGCTGGCTGCAGCCGTGCACGGGGGCTATCCCCATCGTGGTTTAATTAATCTTTTAAAGCACTGTGTTAAACTTTTTTTGGTTTTGATTTGTTTTTTTAAATATTTCCTTTTGAAGAATATGGTCTTCTTCCATGTTAATAACTTGCTCGTTTGAAGACAGATGGTCTTTTATGCCAAGGCTGCGCTGCTTTGCCCTGCGCCTGACTGTGCACGGTGCAAAGGAACGTGCCTTGAAGAACGGGTAGAGGAAAAGCATTGCTTTTAAACCTTGGGATTTTTCACAGCGTGAATCACTGATGGAGAAAGGATCTGCTAACTCTGCGTACTCTACCAGGTGATAAGTCACTTCTATTACGGCTCTGTAGTTTAGCTGGCCAAAAATGATTCCATAAATAAAGAAACAGAGCTAATAATTTTACTTTCCTCCTTTTTTATAGCAACTGCGAGATACAGTTTAACTTCCGTTAAAGTTCAGTTGTGGTTGTCACAATTTTCTGTCATATAGAACATCTCCTGAGTTCCCCCATCAGAAATGAGAATAATTTCTGGGATAAAAAAAATGCCTTAGCCTACTTAAGTAGCTTATAGCTAGATGTAACCACATCTGTGTGTGACTAAACGGAGCTGTTGGTTTGGTTTGTTGAAGGACGTTCTCAGGAAGGCAAAGCGTTTCCGCCAGCAAGACCTCCTTCTAAGCTGAAACTTTCTGATGTGCAGCTGGTCTCAGGTAGGACACGTGTATTTTAAGAACACTTTCATGTTTATGTACATATGAGATTGGTTTCATCTCAGAAAAGAAAAAAATCTGCTCAAGAGCTGGGGTCTCCTACCAAAACACGTAGCTACTGCCGAACTGTTGTGACTACACGCTCTTCCCTTCACTACTTTTGGACTTACCTGAGCACTGCACGGTTACCCTTGTGTTGAATCATTTAGATGAAAACCTATTTTCGTTGGGCTGTTACTAGGAAAGACCTTTATATAATGAACTTGTGCAGCGTTAAGCCGGGTAATGTTCACCTGTGGTTAAAATTGCTTACAGATGCTCATACTTTGCTTCAGCAGCACAAATATTTACTAGCCCTACAGAAGTAAAGAGAGCAGATTTCTACACACACTGTGAATTTACACACCTGTTAGAAACATACAGCTTAGTGCATGAGCAAAAACCTGAAAATCCAAAGTTACTCATCTGATCTCTGCCCTGTCTTCTAAAATGACGGAATGAGATTCCTGGGCCGTGCAGAGCCTCAGCGATTCCACAGAATTTTACTTGTAGCACTTTCAGGCTCTAACAAAACCGTGCATTTATTTGCTGCTAGCTCAGAAGCCACGTAGCCGTTACCAGGTCTTGCTCGGGAAAGCCTTAGTTCTGTTTGCAACTGAAATTTTATGTCTGGAACTGGTCGTAGGGTTGGCAGGACCAGGACTGCCGAGCCGTGGGGGCGGGCAGGGGGGCTACACCGCGCGGCACGGAACCGCACCGGGGAACACAGCCTGTCCCAGTATTACTGGCGGCGTTAAATGCTGGGACTTTGGTGCGTGTGGTGTTACTTGGCAGCTTAGAAATGAAGTTATAGAGTACACGGTCATCTCTCCTCCTGCTTCTTTACTAAATGCCACTCCTGGGACTTTTTCAAGTGTATTTTCACTCCCTCGAGGGTAGGAGCCAGGGTAAGGCCAGCCCTTCACAGGCGAAGATTCAGTGCCTCCTCGGCCCTTTGGTCCTCGTGGTTGCACCACACGTAGCTCAGAGTCAGGCCACAGCGAGACAGCAGCAGAGGCTACAAGGAGAAGGTAGTTCAGCTAATTTGGGAAAAGGGAAGCAAAATACATTTTCCAACTAGCTTAACAAAACTCTGGAGTCAAAAGGAAATCTGGCAGTAGACCTATCCTCGAGTTCGTTAGCACTGTAGGTGAGTTTCTGCCTCACCAACAGAGGCTTTTTTCTTCCACTGTCTGAAAACTGTTTTAGAGAGGCCTGACCAGACAGGTGTTTGATTGCCACCTCTTCATGCAGACATTAATCTGAATTTTAAAAGAGCTTTAGCAAATAATGCTTCTTTTCGTTTAACTTTTCAGGACAAGAGATCTCCCTGTCTTCTGAAATAAAAAGGCTTTCTTTTGAGGTTTCAGTGTCCTTCGCTTTCATAACTTGGTGACGAATAGGATAGTGATAGGAACTCTGCCCAGTTCCTTTAGAACACTACCTACTTTTATTCACCTAATAGGAGCTCGGGGAACTTTAGCCCTTACTTAAAGACAATAACATGTTTTTCATCTGACTGCCTTTGTGCATGACAACATTACGTTTGTTGGAAAAGTTCAGAGCTGTCAGTGGCTAATGCCAGATACTCTATTTCTGACGTAGGTGCCTGGAGTAGGTCAGAATGGACTGTTCAGTGGGATTCTTCTCTTGCAGAAGGTACATCTGGGAAGGTGAAGCCTGTCAGCCCTGGTTTTAATGTTCATAGAGGTGGTGGAAAAAGTATGCAGTGACAAACCTGTAGCAGGGACTGTAACTCAGTTCACTTTTGGGCACAAGCAGAGTGAACACTGGAGGGGGGGGCACACAGATGGCGTGGAAAGGCAACGTGCAAGCGAGTGCCGGGGCAAAGGGTGACAGGTAGAAAAGAGCGGGCAGTGGGGCACAGGGGGAGCACGCAGCTGCTTCACAACGTTCTGGCATGTGGGGCCTTTATGATTGTAAGGATTAAAAAAATTTGGAACCTGAAAGTTGTTCATTAAATTTTATTAAATAGATGGCTTTTGTCAGTTCAATAAATGGCATTTGAAGAGGCTCTCTGCAGCAGGTCGGACAGATAAGCCCCTTTTTTTGTTTCACTGTGGACATTAAAGTGTGGTTATAGAGTTGTCAAGGAGGGTGTTTTGCAATTCCTGGCATTAGTGAGACAGCCTTAAGGTGTGCGGGGTTCTCCCCCTCACTGAAATGTTCTGCTTGGCCCTTGGGCTGACTCCGGCCAGGCCGGGATAAAGCACTGAAATGTTCCCACCCAACCTCTGCCAACCTGGGAGAGGAGAACACAGCTGTTGCACCTTGCAGGAAACAAAAGCACTGAATGAGTCCGGACATTCAGCCAGACTCAAAACGGAAGAGAATTGCCAGCTGACACTCATTTTTGCTTTCTGGCAATTCAGAGAGCACTCGCTTTAGCCCTGGACCAGTTTCCCCTACCTTCTAGTGATGACCCAGTACCTCACGTTGCTAAATATTGCACAACAAAATCTCTTGCCGCTCTTCAGCAAACCCAGCCAAGAGCATTGATTTAGTGACTGAACTGTCAGCCTGGAAACCTCCGCCTGTTTACGAGGGTTGAGCTCCCTTGTCGCAGGCTGCGTTGCACGGAACGCTGCTGCCTCCGCTCCAGCTGCACAGGCTGCCCCAGAAACCCAGCCAGAGGCGCGACGGCGAGATGGCAGGAGAAAGGCAAAGGCACGCTCCTTCCCTGGGCAGTTCCTTGTTTGTGGGATCTAGAATGCAGCGAAGATTAAACTCCTTTATCTACCAAGTTACTCATCCAAACCCTTTTGTTCTTTTACAGTAAACAACCTGCAGTGCGTTCATGTGCTGGAGAACATGGGAAAATCAAAGCAGTTTTCCTACAACATGAGACCCACCACCGCTGCCAAATCAAAAAATACCGGACTCAAGCACTAAGCAAAACCGAACGCTCGGAACTTGAAGAGCACATTCCGGTACAACTGTTGTCTCTCCTAACGTACGAGTCATCTACAACTTGCTAAACTTGAACACATTTTCAGTTTTGTAGTATCTCCACATTACATGCCGAGCAGACTTCTAAGGAGTTGGACTAATTCTGTTTTGTGTACAAATTAGTTTTTAAATGCAACTGTTAATTTATTTACTGACAGGATGAAATCTGAATTGCATTTGGAAACGGCAAATGAAGCACTAAGCCCAGCCTTGCAGTGGAGTTGCAGGGACTCCCAAAGTTTTCTGTTGTCAAAAGTCAGAATTTTGAATGCATTCAAAGGCAGTTCCCAAGAGGGAAACTGTACTAAGGATGGAGCAATTCTTAAAGACTGCTGTTCAATTTCACCTCAAGTTTATGAAATTTATTTCAAAATCTAAACAGGAACAGAAAAGCCTTTACTCCCCACTTCCATACTAAAGAAGCCATTGTTTCTTAGCTAGCTGTGGATTTGAAAGGAAAGAAGTAGAGCTGTCCACAAAACCCGCTCAGTAAATAAATTGCTCTCCACAGCCTATGGGAAGTGCTTGGGGTATGTTTTCTGCCCTCGGAGATCATCACCGGGTTTTTTTTTTTTTCCATATTTATAAATATTTTTATACATAAAGTTTCTACAGAAAGCAAAAAAGACAGGACCTCTTCTAGACTCGTTCTTATAAGAGCTTTGGAGCTGCCAGTGTACAGTATTTACCTTGCACAAGGAATTTAAAAATATGAACTCAACAAAAATTAAAAAAAAAAAAAAGTTACTCTAGTTTCAACATACATTGTTCTCTATTTTTTCATCTAGTTGGTATTATGTAATTCTGTTTTCTTTTTTTTAAATTAATATGATGCATCAAAATAATAGCTATTGGAGTCTCAGTAGAAGTGTTTTTCTGCAAGCACTTAAGCTTCAAGGGGACTGGATTCTCCGTAACGCCCCTCACTGCACTCACCACATCTCACCTGCTGAAACAACTTCCAGTAACGTCTGCTCGCTTGCAAAGAAAGGCAACAGAGGTATGGGGTTCTGTGTAAAATTTTTATTTTGTTTCACTTACAAAAAAATTGACAAGCTTTGTTCCAACATCTTCCATTCAAAACTAAATAGAAGTAAATGCTTTACAACAGACGCCGTTCGCCCTCTTCAATACACCGCGTTTACGGGGCCGGGTCCCGGGGGGTGAGAGGCAAGGTAGATGTTGAAGCAGTAATGGAGGTCTGTTAGCCACTGCTCTTGAACTTCACCGCTCTTCAGTGTCTGGAAAGAAGGAGAGAAAAGGAAAAACTCAATTTCACCAACAGCCCTTGCAAAGCTTCACTTTGTTTTTGCAGTTAATCAGGTGCTGTTAAAGGCACAGGACGGCCTCGTTCGCCGGCCCGCGGTGACATTATTCTTCTCATTTATCCCTTTCAGTGCGGTTTGTCTGTTAAAGCTGAAATAATAAAGCATTGCTGTTTGGTACACCAAGTTGGCCTGGCATTATAAAGTGCGTGAATTACACCAGATGTGATTTCTTTACTCTTAATTATCGTGGCTTGCTTACTTTCCAATTCTGCAATTTGTAGTCAATTAAAATGCAAATGAGTGTGGTTCTACTAAAGCAGGAGGGCTCAATACCCCAGTCCACAGGCGAGCTGCTACCAAAGGACCAACATAGCCCATGGTCCGACCGTTCCCTCTCCTTAACATTCACAAGTGGTTAAAAAACCCCACCAGCACCACCACACCCAACCCACCCCCAGTGGAACCTCACAAAAACCAGCTGGGCCGTTTTTGACCCCAAAGGAAACCAACCACTTCCATCTCCGCTAGAGAACTCACACCACACTCTCGTACAGCTGCTTTCGCCACCGCCGAGGCCGTTTCTGTTAACAGACCTTTTTAAAAGATACTACCGGACACGCGGGGCTTGCTTACTCAAACCTGCGGGACGTACGACCTTCCTGCCCTCCAAACTAGCGGGAGCGAAGGCAGTTGCAGATTGTTTTTTTGAAGAGAGAAGCAAACGGACTAGTTTCAGGACCAGGGGAAGGTAGACACAGGGACAGAAGTGCTGGGATCTCCAAGGTCTGAAAGAGCCCGTGTTTCGCGCTGTACGGATCTAAGAGTTTGTCTGGTTTAACGCCACCTGCCCGCACCCCTGCCCCCCCGCGCCGATAAGCAGAAGAGATCAGCTCCCTATTTTGGGAGAGCTCTCCCTCAGAGAGGCTGCCTGGGCAATCTGCTCCCAGAGCGTTTCGTTAGGAGGCTGCTTCGGCCGGGGCCTGGGCTGGGCACCAGCTCCACTCCAGAACGGTGCCGCCTGCGCAGTGACCGCAGCAGCTCGGGCACGCAGCGGCCTTCTACAGAGCCTGGGCTGCCAGGGCAAATAAAAGACAAACCGTAACCTGCGTTCTGCTAAACATCTGTTCTTCAGCATCTGCAACAGTTTTTAAACATACGCGTGAGGCCTGCAATCTCGGCAGTCTCCGGGAAACAACAAGACGTTTCATACCATGATGTCCTTGATAATCTGTTGCACCAGAAATTCGTTTGTGATCATATGGCTCCTGAGCTGGCCGTGTTGCATTAGGAGGCGAAGCAACTGAGCAACAACAGGCAGTTCTTCCCGACAGATCCTGCTCACTTGCAGGCTTTGCAGCATCAGTCTCAGTAATCGCGGCAGGAGTGCCAGTGCAGAAATACATGATCCCCACAGCATATCCCTGAGAGGAAAAGAACAAAAATTGAAATGATCAAGGACACGTCTTGTAGGTCTGCTTCTGTGAACTGGCCTCGTAGCTGTACAGGGAATTTGTGTGGCCTCTGAATTCAATCATGCCACTTGCCTTCACCGTAATTAGTGACGAAGCAGAAAATGCATACCAGAAAATGATACACTTGAAAATATGCTAAAATTATGTACAGCACTGGAAAAAAAAAAAATAAGCCCCTGCCCTGGAGCTACAAATGTTGCTGAAGCTCTTACACAGGGTAATTTCTGCTCGATGCAGCTGGGAAGAGGTGGTTTCGGTCACTGTTCACGTACACCTGAATCTTTATTTAAGACTCGTAAGAAATCAAACAATGGTATCAGCTTTTTGTGATCAAAATCGGCAAGTCATTAAAGACAGTAAGCGAAGGAGTACTCCAGATTTAAAAACGGGTCTCAAATTTTAAGTAACCTTCGAACAACTTTCCTGAATGTGGTACAGTTAGAGGAAAAATCTGAAGTTTAAACTGTTTTAAAATGTCTTTAGACATTTCTGTTATACAAGTAAACAAAATTATTTAAATCTGCTACCTGCAGCTTTTGGGGTTTTTAAATCAAATGGATTTGCAGTTTATAAAATGATGCCTGGGAAGTTTTGTTAAAGCTGAAATATCAAGTCAGTTAACAGTACACGCTCATAAAGCCAAATCCTTTGCATGTTGCTTTTCAATGTATCTAATGAAACTAAAGGCTAAAGCAAAAGATTAAGGTATAAATATCCACCTTTCTAGTCAGGAGGGTTTTGACATCTAACTAGACCAATATGAGATGAAACCCTCTTCAGTTATTGCTTTAAATAATTCCAGCTAATTTTGCAGCTGTTTTTCTTAAATCCAAGTACTGTTTTGAAGTGAGCAAAAGTCAGCAACCTAAATTGGGAGGATGAAGGGGGGGGGGCTATCCTTTCATTTTACATCTCGAAATACTCGTGGGTATAAAGGCAGAGACAATTAACAGGGTAAGAAAAGCAGCATTACCTTTTCTGTACATGTTCTGCATCCTCTTTGTCTAAAGTTAGCAGAAAGTACAGAAGACTGTAACAACAAGAGGCTAAGAACTTGTGCAGGTTTTCACTTAGGATGCAGGCTTGATCCAAGAGCTTATTTATGGCACATAGAACAGATCCAGCTGTGCTGTCGGGTATTACAACCAATCCAACCTGTATTAAAACAACAGCAACAAAAAAACCCCACCCAAGTTCATCATTTTATACACAAGGTGTTTTGCTGGTATAGAGCGTGTCTAGACCCAAAGAAATCTCTTCCATATCATGACTTACATTGTTTCTGTTCCAGTTCTACACTACTGCATTTTTTCAAATCCCTGTTTTCCTAAGAAGTTGCCACCCCCACCAACAGGAGGTTAAACCGGCAGCTTCATTCTATCCCCTCTAAATAAACACTCCTCTCAGACGTGTTTCAGAAAAACCCACTGCCTGGAGCCTCGCTCCGAAAGACAACACTGGCACAAACAGAATCGTCTGGGCAGAACAGGTCTTTCCTTTTCAGCACATACCATGGGGCAGGGCAGCCCTTCTGTGTCTGGAAACAGCAGGGAGCACTCGCTGAGGTAGAAGGAAACCCGGATTTGCTCTCCAGAAAGAAAAAGCTTCTACTGGATCGTCATCAGGGCGACTCTCCTTAGAAATCCGAGAGGCTCGACAGGAATGAGGGCATTATGAGCAGAGTTAAATTAAAGCTAATGAGACAGATGGTGGGCCCACAGCTGGGGTGATACTCTGCTGGTGTTAAAATGAGAACATCTGGAGTAAGGATTTTATAGACATGATAAATAATTTAGGAAATTTCTTTTTTGGGTAGAGGTAGTGAATTAGAAAGCAGCTGAACTTCGGAAGTGCTATTTAGTAACTATCCTAGATTTTTGTCCTGTAAAGCTGTAAAGAAAATTCATGCATTGCTAATGTGACACTATTTATCTTATTAAAAAACTAATTGAAGGAGTTTTAGAGTAGCCTCATTTGCTCACCTGCAAGTACATTGTTTTAAGCTGACAGAGGCAGTTGGTTCACTTAACGTCAGCTCTTTCTTTTGGAAACGTTAGAAAAAGATCGATAAAGTACAAGTTACAGAAATGTGGAATGTCTTGGTATGATTACTTATGAGAGGTAAAAGATGGAGGAACAATGATGGGTTCAAACTTTTAAATACCGCCAACAAAAGACACCAGGTGAATTTCAAGGCCAGGAGCGCAGCTCCCTGCCCCAAGCTGCCCTCGCAGCAGCCAGCTGCAGAGGTGGGAGCAGGGTGGCACCGAGGGGCTGCAGCTGTCACCAAGACCCCGGTGAAGAGGCACTAAATAATAAAAACTAGTAATGATGTTCCTGACCAACCACAAGTAGGAAATAATGAGAGTGAGCCCGAGGGATGTCTGCGTATGGAGGAAGCAGCCTGAGGATCGAACGAGCCAGCACCGCTGGTGAAACGTGCCAGCCAGCCAGCCTGGAAGATGTGTTTGTATATACAGATCCAGTAGAGGAGACTGCTCAGGTAAGTTCCCATATAGGATGTTGCCTACACAGTGCCTTTCTTCCCTGTTAGGTGTCATCATCCAGTAGGAGATCTTGGGCAGCAGTCTAATCAACCGTAAAAATCCACTTAACTCTTTACTACGCTGTCTGGTTGAGAGCAGAACGCGTAAACCGATTTAAAAGTTGTGATTTAAATTGGCACTCACACCCCAAAATCCAGGCTAGAGTTACAGGTAAGGCACCCCCTACGGAAGCTTTGGTCTCGGAATTGTTCAGCAGGGCTCCGTTCAGGGAACTGCGGGTACCTGTTAGAGCACAGAACCATCCCGGCAGGGGGACAGACACGTCCTCCCTCTCGGCAGGCAGCCCCACAGGGAACTGCAAATTCGGGCCCCGACAATCCCCTTACCCAGCTCCGGCTCTGCCACCCCCACCCTCAGCTCAGGGAGTGCTCAGGGTTGGGAGGAGATGGACTGTAACACTCATCTATAGCTGCTAGTCACCCTTCTGAAAAGCAAAGCAAACCAAACCCAGAAGCCTTTCATTTACAGCTGTCCTGGCTTGAAGAGAGCAAGAAAAAATAAAAAAACCCCACCCATGGAATTTTAGATACCAACATTTACTAGAAATTTTTTTAAAACTCCACTAATCTTGTTGGAAACTTTCAAATGCTGAAATTATACATGAAATATATGGACTAAGTGGATTTGAGGGTTAATGAGACTGTTACAAAATCTGTCACACAGAAGTTAACCTAGAAGACAAAAGGGCACTTACCAGGTATTTACAAATGCCGGTCTGGAGAATGTCGAAACACTGACTTTGTGAAGGTATAGTGGACAAGCTGTGACAGATCATCTGTTTTAATAAAACAAAGTTATATTTCAGTACTCTAAATGCAACCAGCAATCATATATACACTGTGCAGTCGGACTTTGTTGACAGACCTAAATACAAAGTACCTACAGGGACACGTAGTAGCTTTGTCTCAAAGTACTGAGGCTTTACAGTGTGTAAGAGTAACGCTGTCAACATAAAGTGTTCAGTACTTAAAGAGAGGACCCCGCCTACCCCACTGTTTTTTTTTGCTCGTGGCTTTTTTCATTTCACCCATGTGATAGAAGCCCAAAAATATTCCGTCTGGCTAGAGCGCTACACTAAGCCTCCCCATACCTTTCCTGAGAGCTGAAGAATTTCAGAAAACAACTTCACAGGTAACTTTATCAAGCGTGACAGGAATCATGGTGAAACAGGACAGAAAAATAACAAAACAAAGAAGAAAGCAGCAAAGATCCGTTTCCAACTTACTTTACACTGCCAAAAATATCATGTTCAAAGATGATACCAAATGTAGTACTACGAAGGGAAATCTTGTTTTATGAACTGCCCAAAACTTTCTGGTTCTTCTATAATCAGGCACTAGCAAACTGTATTAGCTGCCTAGAGGCACGATGGAAGGAGGTTAAAAACCAAACAAAACAAGAGCTGAAGACTGAGATCTTCATTTTTCACTAAAACACATGGTTGACCAGGACCCCACGAAATGCTATATGGCTCCCGGATAGGATCAAGAAACCAGAGCTCCGGCAAGATGTACACAGTCCTCAGCAGATGGCTTTCTCTCTCCCTCTTTTCCTTCCCTTCTATTCCAATAATTTGCGAATTGGAGAGCTTGCATGACCTCCCTGTGTTTACATTCGCTGCCTATCCCGCCAGAGCCATCGGAAGCCTCCCGAAAGCAACACACGCAGCGTGCCCTGCTGTCAGACCACAGCAACCTACGGACGAAGAAGATGGAAGAACCAATACACGAGGAATGAAATCTTCTGTCTGTGCTTAAGGGAGTCTGGAAGAGAACAGCAAGACCAGACACCTGAGAGAGGAAAGAACTTAAGTCCCTGAGTTTTACAAGTATCTCAACTAAGCAAAAAACGATTCCCCTAAGATGCCTTGCTGACTGAAGAAAGAGCTAAAGAAAACTTTCACAGAATGATCTGACTTGAGGGATTAAGTTCTGTGATAACGTCTTGGTCTTGAGACTTAACCTGCATCAGGGCAAGTCAAGATGCCTAAACAAGAGATAATGACAAAATAGAAAACATCACCCATGTTGTGTCAAAAATAACAGCCCACAACATTTCCAGCTGAAGAGAGACTCCAGGGAAAGTGAAGGTTAAGGAAAGAACCACTAGCTCAAGGTCCTGTGGTATGACAGCTCAGCCCTAAGTAATGTGGATGCCAGAGGCAGTTTAATCAGAAATGGCCAAGCAGTATCACCTGTGGTGATGTAACAGTGTGCTCAGCTTTTTTTCAAAATTTCACACCACACATGCTTCTAGGCCTCTGCTTACGCTGGCCAAATCCAGGAGATCCTTAACACATCTGCTTGCCAGAACATAACAGCGTCAGGCTGACATTGCTCATGGTGATCAGTATTACAGGTAACCGTGCCACTATCTTGTTTGGCTAGCAGAATTGTTTAACAGACTATTTTACAGATCTCTTGCACTGAATACCCTTATTTTCGATACTCTACTTTTATTTAATAATGAAATAATATTATTAAAACTGTGTATTCGATCCTAGATGTCGTAGCGCTTCTGTTCACTGCCACCTGAAAGTGACAAAATATTAAGTACTCTGGAATATTCCCAAGAAACACACTCAAAACATCTCTACCTATTAGCAGTGTCAAGGAATAAAGTCAAGCTGAGGCAGAGGTTACCACTGGGGGCTGCCATGTCAAGGACAAACTGACCCAAATCTGACCTAGGATTTTAACGAGTAACACTTCCACAAAAATTAAAGCTACACTGATGAAATCTGTTGGCTGGCAGCTCAAAGTTGAGAAACCCTGCCAAGGCAGGAGCATTGGCCTAACCTACAGAAAAGATGGCAGGGGTTTGATGAGTAACAGATACCGAAAAAATTCACTGAAACAGAAGTTGCGGGTCACGCGCTTGGAGACTAATAACAACATCTGCATGCAGCTAGGAGTTTTATCAGTTGGAAAGGAAGAGAAAATTCTGTGCATAATGACTGACCACAAGCTGGTTGTGATAACAACCATGAAACGGGCAAACGCCACTTTAGGATGGAAAAATAATCACAATAGTTGTGATCAGACAGAGTACCAATCGTCTGTTCAGTACTACTCCGTAAGACCCTACTTAGACTATTTCTGACACGCTGTGTAAAACAGGAGTCGCTCATTTTCAAGAAAGGTAAATTCAAACTGAACGGGCATAGGAAAATTACACAAAGAATACAGGTCCTGTCTTACAGGTGTCAGCGGAAAGAGCTTAACCCACCTAGGCTGGCAAAATTTACAAATACGACAAAGAGGTGAAAACCACTGCGGGAGAACACAACCAAACAGCAACAAAAAATAACCACGACCACAGCCGGCTGGGAACGCAGAGGAGACGGGAAGTAGGAAGGATGATTATGAAATGGGACACATAGGAGGCATTTGTTGCTCGTGTGAGAGAGTATGACAAGAAGTTTACAGGTGGGGTATGCCACAGGCTTGTGAGCAGACGACACTGCTAGAGAGATCTCTTAATTCAGCACATACCCGCAAGAGGTCAACAAATTGAAGACCTTGAAGACAAATCCACCAGGCCCACCCAGCAAACTAAGGTTTCATTGTTAATAAAACCATCACTAATGTTTCACCTCTAGGACTACGTCCCTAGAATCAGCCTACCAGTCTACTGAGGCTCTCCCTGAGACGACAAGCTGTAGGAGCATTTCATAACAGGCGCGATCCACCAGCACTCAGACTCTTCCAGAACCAGCATGGAAAACGGGCATCGCGCCACTGAAGAGCAGCACACTTGCTAAGAGGAGGTGTGGCAAAGTGCATTGGCAAATTAGTTTTTCAACCTTTTAGACCTTTCTGACCCTCAAAACAGCACAACCATTCCTACAACCAGTTCTATTTTCCTACGATTAAGTGGGAGTGGCAAGCCTTTTCAACTCCATAAATTAAATCCTGCTCAAAATGGCTTTCATAACAAATGCCTGTTATAAAAAGTGAAACTGAAACGTTATTAGACATGGAAATGAAAAGCAAAGAAAACTTAATTATCACAGGAAAATTAGTATTTTTCCTGACAATTTATTTTCCTTAGGCAAGGGTTTGCATGATGTTTAATTTTCCATGATAAAATGTCACAGCTGATTCATTATTTTACATTTGATTAGCATTTATCACATTTTTGGCGCGTTCATAGATTGGGTTTGGACCAAAGCCAGAGTAGTTTTGTTTCAGAGTATTAGTGAAGTGAATGGCCACAGAACGAGCATTTCTGATTGTAGAGAAGGTTTGTATCTTTCTGAGACAAATATTTTATAAAAGGTTTGGTTTAGGTTTAGAAGGTGTGGGTTTGGGGTTTGTTTTTTTTTTTTTTTCTTTTTAATTTTGTTTGAATGTCCACTTGAATGAATTCAGCCAAATAAAAGCACTCTCTTAAACATGGGGATTACCCGTTAGCATTATGCAGCAAATACTACAGGCTCTGTAATCCACTGGCAGTTTTTCAAACCAAGCCTCCTTGATCAGACGAGCCCAACTACCCATCATACTCCCGCGACACACGACTACAACAGCAGGATCCCTACTAGTGCTTCAGGGAATTGTTACTACGCACACCTCCCTGCCTGCCATGCTGAAGACACACTCCAACAGTAGCCAGCAAAAATGGGAGGCTGGGGCAGGGGGGGAAAGGAAAAAAAAAAAAAAAGCAAGCCCTCAGTGGGCTTTCTGGAGATCCTGACACCATGGAGTATTTTATTCTAGTCTTCAACTGGATGAGTTAAAAGCATTTTTGCTGCTGACGGCCAACCTAACTGACTCTTAATCCAGTCTGAAACAGACTTCTCACAGCTCTAATGCACAATCGGAGGAATCCATCGTTTTAATACTGCTTATCTGTAAGATGCACTCAACTCCAAAAGGGAGAGTTGGGATGATCTGAGGAAGCCCAATCTCAATCTGAGCCCCCATGGCAACAGGAACACGCACGAATGATGAACCAAGAGTAATGCTTTGTTCATTATTTAACTGTTCCCACTCGCTAAATCACTCAGTGCTTTCCATAACGTGACAGAATCCTGACTCAAAAAAGCCTCAAGGGAAATATTGTATCAGTAACTCTCCAGGGAAAATCTGCATATTATTTGAAGATTAATCGCACTGCAAAGTACTCTTTTTTCAACGAAAAATACGCACCTTCCTCCGAAGCCACACACAAGCCTGAGCACAGAGAAGAACCAAGCAAGCAAGAAAGATAATGGCTTAAGTCTTTTAGCAAACCACTCTGTGGAGTCAGACCAAAGACGGTTCAGACTCCCAGAGAAGTGATTTTATTTAAAAAGTTGGCACACACCAGACACTATATACTAATGTGAACTTTAGAATACATTTTTCAATTCACATCGACATCCACCTCAAACATGGGTAACTAAAATGTAACAGGCTGTTCTGCAGCCAATTCCCAAGACCTTGTGAAATGACTTTTTCAAGCGGGACTCTATCCAGTGTAACACGTTACTGTAGAGCGTAGAAAACGAGAAGTTTTCAGGTGATGGGGCAGGCAATGAAGCTTGTCGTCTGAAGCTTGGCCAGCTCCCCCCGAAGCACCCTAGCTTATCAGACAGTGTACTCCCTTGACAGGTGCTGCTTCTCCTTCTGAAATAAATTGATTTGACAGGGCAATATTAACAGTGCCCTGAGTTGTTGAGAAAGCTGCGTACAACAAGAGATCTTTGTTCATCTGCCTTGGCTAAGCTCACAGGGGCGGATGTGAAAGGTATTCCTGATTCAGTGACTCCAGCAAAAAAAAAAAACAACT